CTTCCGAGACCATCGTCTCAGGCATCTAGGTGTCTTCCTATGACCCTAATCCTGCTACACTGTCGTCCGTTGAAGGAAGCCAAACGTAAGAATTCGTTTAGATCGTGAATCGAATGTTTCGCAACATCCCCCGATTCTTACGATAAAAAATGAACGCACATCGTTGTACAAGCGTCTTTAACATAATCCGATATAAAGATATTCGAAATCTCGAACTCTCAAAGTTTCGAATTAGGCAAGCATTAGCGTCCTTGGGAGAGCGATCTATGACGAGTAGAGCAGCTCGGAGATGTCTTATAGCGTTTACACAACGTGAAATTCGAACGCTCGAGGCACTTTTCTAAACCACGGCCGAAATCAATCAGGAATAATCGTGGAACGGTGACGCAGTCGGATGTAAAATTCATAATCCTGTCCTGTTTTAATTAAACTCGTAGCTTTCACGCGGTAAGAAAGTTATTGAACGATAACAGGTAAAATTCGACGAATTTCGTAGTCGCGATTGGAGCGAACTTTCTTCCACGCAAGGTAGAAAACGGACGAAGAAATTGTTCGAGAGTAAATTGCACTCGGTTCCCCGATGCTCTTGGAAGGAACATATGCCGATGACAACGACACGTTCGTTCGCCTTCGATCGGAACAGAAAGGCAGGCAATGGATGAAGATTGAAAGCGAGAGAAGAAGAAGAAGGAATGAAAAAAGGACTTGGAAAGTGCAAGGAAGGTCAGCAGCTGACCTTTCAGAGACTCGTCGAGTGGTCTTTCTTTTCCTTTTGATCGTCGATTATGACCTCCCCTCTTCACCGCAGAAGGTAACCTTCTGGTTCACGAGTTTCGCGTGTTTTCAACGTATTTCGGATCGATGATCCCATTTTACGACCTCGCATTTGCATTCCTCGTCTCTCCTAATAACGTTCCGGCAACATTCCACGGCTCTCGTGAAAATTTTTGCGATTTACGATCGATCTTCTGCCAGTTGAAAACGGCTGAAAAGAAAGCAACGAACCTGGCGATGATCGTCGCGATGCTGCATACGGATCTAAAAGCGAAATAGGCGAAGTGCACGCAACGACCCATTATTTTCGACCAGTCGTGGGTCCTTGGGAGTCTCGATGGTGATCAGAGACAGCAAAGAAGATTTAATTAAGAACAGGGCTGTGGTATTAGATTCCTGGTAAACAGAGCGAGAGTCCGGTTCCTCGGAGCGAATTCCATGGAAAGTAAAAGTGATCGAGCTACGCTGGATTTATCTACCAACGACAGATCGACTAGGTTTTACTTTCGACTACGTGTATCACAGAGATGCGAAGGAATTTATATAATGGTTTATGGAAACTGATCAATTATACCGTGGATTTCGAAAAGCCATCGACAGATCGTTTAAAAATGAACTGAGCTCGATCCAACTTTTATTACCGTTCATTTCAACAGTCGATTAGCATTTGAAGTCGATCGACGTTAAACCGTTGCCATTCTTTTTCAAGATTACTCATAATTGAATCTTGCCCAGCGATCCTTATTTCTTTATCCGGTTCGTTAACTCTGCATCTCAGGAGCTGAAGCGGCTACCTAAAGGAGAATTAAGAAGAAGAGGAATGCAAGATCGAGGATCGTTAAGGCTATTGGAAGGTATGGTAGCCCTCGGTTACAATGACGCACGAATCATCCTGTTCACCTTTGCAACTGGTTCACCGCTACCGGTACTAGATTCTGGATCTTCAAGGTTACGTTAAAATTAACCGTCTTTCCCTTTGCTCTTTTCGTCCCTGCGTGTCTGGAATATCCAAAGATCTCGGGGTCTTTCTCATTCTTCCTCTTTGTTTCCTTCGAGATTTAACGTCGTTGATACCTGTTTTTTCCCAACGTGCTTGCTTTTCTAAACTCAGACCCTGGGATTCCTCGACAGTCGGCTAAAGCATTCCTTTCGCTCTTTCTTTTGCTCATCAACGATACCGAACCCGAATTACCAACTTTCCTTCCAAATCTAAACCCACGATTCCTTATACATCGTCGATTAGGAAAGGTGTTGGCGAGGCATCGAGTCATCAGAAGCGGTTAACGGTATTAAAGCGGAGGATGAAGTCATCGGGATCGTCAGGACGTCAACGAGCCGTTCAAATGTCACAGGAACTCGAAGCGTGTCTAGCCGCGGTCGTACGAATCGAATGTAAATAAGTTCGATGCTTCGTCGCGAGTACAACCGGACGATCGGTACTGGTCGAAGCAATTTTGGTGGTGCGTAACGCACAACCTCGATAGTTACGGGAGCGAATTTACAACAAAAAATAAGTCAAAGATATAGAATGACGTTTTTCAAATATGCCATATTAAATATTCGCCTGGTATTCTACTCAAAATGATCTATTATACTCTTATACTCGTAAGCTCTTTAGAAGGAATGAAATCAATGTTCGATAAATTAAAACTGCAATTTAGTTGGGAAAGTAGAATTGCGTATCTGTTTCATCGTGTAATCTTAATTATCCGATATAACGGAGAAAATTGAACAGAGGCAATAATTCACAGCAAAGAACACGTAGAATGCGCATCGACACACCCGACCGCCATTCAAGGTCGATTTTCTCGAAAACGAGGTGTCGCGTGAGAAAACGTCATTCTATATTTTCAACTTATTTTTTTTTTGACATAGATTCAAACCCCGGTTGATTGGGTCGGGTTCGACAGATCCGAATCGACGGAACTTTTGGTTCGAGTTAACGCATCGTTGTCCTTCCTGCATCGATAATTCGTGTACGCTGCTTTCACGGCGAGTAACGGTCTTTCTTCTCGCATGGGAAGTCGAAAGTAACTGGTTGACATTTCCTGATAAATCCGATCAAAAATTGCCTACGATTCGCAAAGTTCGAGTTCAGACGGTTACATTGCCACCCCAGGCGTTCGAATCTCCAGGGTGGCAATGGCACGCGGCCATCTTGGGACTCCCATAGCCTATGTCTAAATAACAAAACTGCGCTTTCTTTACCGAATGTTTTCAGGCTGAAATATGATCGCTATTCCTCTAAGTCGCGCAGCGACAACCGATACCGGTAATCAGTAAAAAGCTTCCGCGACAGGTTCCCCGATCGAAATCACCGAAAGTGCGGCGACGCGTTCCGTTCCGGTTACGAAACTCTCCGAAAGGAATTGGTGGATCGAGCAGGTGGTTTTCGCGCATTGCGCGCCACGGTATCGTTCGCAGTCGAGCCGCAACAATTTCCCATGCGAGCCTCCCGATCTCGTAGAAAGTTATTTGACATTTAGAAGGGCCCGTGGGGAATTTTCGACCCCCCCACCCGCGCTTATGCCAGCGCACGATTATACTTATCTGCCATCGCGATCCTGCTCTCCTCGTGGCATCTCGGTTCTCCGATTCTCGGGATCCGCCGAGACGAAGAAGAGTGTTCCCACACCACGCCATACGCACGCTATGACGAGAGCTAGCAAAAAGGAAAAAGCGGAAGGGACGCGAATCCCGTCGACTGCGGGCAAGGAATGCGCGATCGACGATCGTTAGCCTACCCAGCCTCTCCACCAGCGATACTAATTGTTCTATCGCAAGGAACGGCGTTACGACGTAACGTTAACGTAACGCGCTCGCCGGCCGAAACGTACGAGAAAGTGGTCGCGGAACGGTGTTCTCTCTTCGTGCTTTCTCTTCACGCACGTTACGTAACGAGGAGTGGCTCCTTGGGTGTCACGGCCCTGCTCTATTTGCCGGACGACGCGTCCCGACGTCGCTTTATCCCCGAGGTCTCTGTAACAAAATCGGAATCTCCGCGGACCGATCGCAGGTGCACTGCTCGCTCGATCGCGAACGCGCACCTTCGCTGGTCTCCCGTTCACCGATCGATCGATCCATCCGTTTTGCTTCTCTTTCCATCTTTGCTACTCCGGGTTCTAGTCCAGCCGACAAAGAAGCTCCTGATAACAGTTGGTTGCTAGCTACAGGATCATTGAACGTTCAAAGGGAATCCGTGACGAGTTATGCAAACTCGTTGAAAGTAAAAGTTGTAGAAATCGATCCGATCTGATCTGATCGGCCAACAGTTTTTCCAGCGATTGTTTAACGCTACGATGGTTAAGGTTGCTACTAACCGACTCGCAAAGGTCCCAAGGCCTACGCGTGTACGGAATGATCGAAATTGCACGGGATCAGTCTGCACGAGCTAGAGTCGTGGCCAGACGATCGAAACGGTAGGGAAATTTTTCGGTTTCTGAGAACGATAGAAACGGACTGTCATTCGAATACGAATACGGTTCGCAGACAGCTCGAGTAACGAATTATTAATGCGTCGCATCGCTTTTCCGTTACAGGAGAACCGAACGGTGTCGCTGCTACTTTGCCTAAGCATTCTACTCGCGACGATTCACAACGGTGAGTATTTCATAACGGAACTTGGACGAAAAGAAACTTCGACGATCGAAGTGCACGATGTTTCGTGCCGGATGGCCGATCGTGAGACCTCACGGTGACGCGGCGGAAACGAAACTTTGACTTGTTCCTGGGAAAATAAAAAGATGAGGCGCGTCAGCAAGGTTACAACGGCGAATGGCCCATTTACTCTGTGACCGAGTCTCTGATCTCTCTCCCGGTAATTTCTCTAGCATAGCACGTGGAGACCAGTGCACGCGCGGATGCAGTTTCACTGGACTCGCCATATCTCGACCAGTGAAACGTGTGCACCTCGGAGAAAACGGTCGCAGCAAAAACGAGCCCGTTCGAGGTGTAGCCGGTACACGAGTGGGGAGAAAAAAGACGTCGAATATACATTGTAAACGTAAAACAGTCAGGGTATTTAAAAGGCGATCGTTTTCCCGCCAAGTTTCTGTCTCGAGTCTCGTAATCGATACCGTAATCGTTTCCAGATTTAAGAGAACTCTTATAATTGACGCAATAGCTGGTTCGACTGAAGGGAGAGATCGCGATCGCGTAGGTACAGCAACGAGCAAAGCTGGAGGGAAATCATACGATAACATATTCTTGTAAACTCTTTTAGTCATTATAATGTAAGTAGTATACTCTTCGTTCGAAGTGAAATCACCTGGCTTTAACTTTCATGAGATTTTGGAAAACTGAAGGCTCGAGCGTGAATACCCCGAGGAACAATTTTTAAGGAAACCAGTAGCGTTTGAATTTTCATAATTTCGCCAGTGAAAGGCAGTCTTTATTTTCTATTGTAGAAACGTCTGAATAGAAATTCGATCTAGGGATATGAAAGTACAGGCTTCGAGCCCTCGAATGCTTCTGAACGATTCCTCTTCGCGAAGTTACAGCTCGTTCAAAAGATAGTAGATTCCCAATTGTAGATTCAGTTTTGCTCATCGCTGTAAAAATCTCGGTCCAGTTTCTCGTGCGATGGGATCATCAACCACGCGAACCACGCAAAATCGCAGACTTCTTCGGGTAATTGCTCGCAAAGTCGACGATCGGCATATCCTTCACTTATTCCCAGGGAACACTGCAAACACGTGCGAAACTATGCGTCAAAGGCATCGATGATCGCTCGGGAACGAAGAGGTCTGAAAAAAGGAAAAGTGTGAGCGACGTGGTCTGTAGAGACAGAGGACTCGTTCGTTATGAACGCGGTTAGAATGCCAGATTTGCGGCTAACACCGCGTGCCTCTTACCGATATTATCTCCTGTATTATGCACCGTGCTTAACAACGTTACCTCCTTTGCAACGTTCATATAACTGCAGATAGAGAAACTATCGTGCGTGTGAAACGACACAAAGTCTCGCATGCCTTTTATATCGCTGTCTAGTTCTTGGCCTCAGTTCGATTATCCTCATCCTGTCCGCTGCAATGCAAACCCGATTGGCGCGAATCATGGAAAAAGGCCGCGTGGAAATTGCGTCAAGCCCGAGCTTTTACCTCGTATCGCTCTCGTGAAAAACGAAAACGAAATGGAACTTTCTAGTTCGCCAGGTGGAATTCGAAGGAAACCTTCGAAATGCACTCCGACGCGATATTTCGAGGGAATAAACTGGTTCGAGCATTGCTCTGTTTGTTCTCATACGTGGCACGATAAAATCATCGACCTGGCGAGCGTCTGTCCCACGTGGGTGATCAGGGTCAGGAACGATCTTGATTCTAGACTCGATTTTTACATTCTCTCGTGCGAGCAGTGAAAGCATCGAGGATAAGTGCCTGATCGAAAGCGAGCACTGTCCATGATTCTCCAAGGTGACTGCGAATCGAATTATCAATGAAGGAAACGTGTGAAAATAAAAGAGAAAACGTGGATACCTCGTTAATTGTCTGTCTGCTTATAATTGCAAATCGCGATCGAGACGCTATCATGATCGCTGTGTTTTAACATCTTCCGTTCCGAGAACAGGTGTTTGCAAACACCTGGGAATAACTTGCACTTTCCTTCTCGTTAAACGAATGGTAAGCGATAGGGGATGCAGTTGCCATGGGGGTTCTTCGAGATCCTATGAAAGAAAATATTTTATTTATAGAATTTATGCAAATTTTGCGCGGGTCAAGGTACGTTAAATATAATTTTAGTCTAATACGTGTGTCATCGATCTATATGGGGTCTGGTATGAAAATCTTACGATGATTCGTTATCGCGATATAATTAATGCGCGTGGATATTCGCTGCACGATCGGTACGCGACTAGTAGATCCGTTTCTCGTTCGACAAATGAAAGTTCAATCGCGACACGGTTTCTCCGTAACACGGTTTCTCTGTGTCGGCCATTCGTGCTTCTCGCGATGCATGTGTTACGTTCGCATTCACGCGAAATACCATTGAAAGAGCGACTTGTCCTATACAGGTAATGCCGAACGAAAGATCGTATGCTACTATACAAGCTGGTCGATCTATCGACCAGGTACAGCCAAGTTTTCGCCGCAAAACATCAATCCGTATTTATGCACCCACTTGATCTACGCTTTCGGCGGATTCACCAAGGACAACGCTCTGAAACCTTTCGACAAGTACCAGGACATTGAGAAAGGTATGACGAAGCATGAGAGAGAAGGGGATGGCAACGAGCCAGATTTGCGAAAAAATCGCATCGATTAACCTTGCGCGGTTTTTACAGGTGGATATGCCAAGTTCAACGGCTTGAAAACGTACAACAAGAACTTGAAAACCTTGTTGGCTATCGGAGGTTGGAACGAAGGTTCCAGTAGGTTCTCTCCGATGTTTGCCGACCCTGACAGGAGACGGGAGTTCGTCAAGAACACCATAAAGTTTCTGCGAAAGAACCACTTCGACGGCCTCGATCTTGACTGGGAATATCCAGCCTCTAGAGAAGGCGGCAAGCCTCGGGATAAAGACAATTATGCCAGCTTAGTGCAGGTATCGTGGCAGATAAATATCACCCCGATTCAAATCGAGCTATCGTACATTCTTAATCACCGCGAACAAATCGGTTGTAAAGGAACTCAGGGAGGAATTTGAAAGGGAGTCTTCAAAAACCGGAAGACCGAGGCTTTTGGTATCGTTGGCCATGCCAGCTGGTATCGAGCATATCGAGAAAGGCTACGACATTCCTAGATTAAACGAATATTTGGATTTCATCAATCTTCTCTCGTACGACTATCATTCGTCTTACGATCCAGCCGTCAATCATCACGCACCTCTGTACCCTCTCGAGGAAGATAACGAGTACAGCTACGACACCGAATTAACGATTGTAAGGACATCGGTTCCTGGACATCGGTGATGAACTTATAAAACGTTAATCTCGGCAACTTTCCAGGATTATACCGTGAACTACCTGTTAAAAAACGGCGCCACCCCGGAGAAGTTAGTTCTAGGAATTCCAACGTATGGCCGGACCTATACCCTTTTCAATCAGGATGCCACTGATCTAGGATCGCCAGCGGACGGTCCAGGGACCAAGGGTGACGCGACTGGCGAGAAAGGCTATCTTGCTTATTACGAGGTTAGTTTTTGCTATTCGCCATCTCGGTGATGGAAAAACAGATGATACTATATCGTTTTCATAGATCTGCGAGAACCTGGAACAGTCGGACGATTGGGAAGTGGTACAACCAAATCCAAAAGCGATGGGTCCCTATGCGTACAAGGGAGACCAATGGGTAGGTTACGACGACGTAGAGATGGTCAGATTGAAAGCCAAGTACGCGAATGAAAAGAAACTAGGAGGAATTATGTTTTGGACGATCGATAACGATGACTTCCGGGGAAAATGTCACGGTCGTCCCTATCCCCTGATCGAAACTGCCAAAGAGACTCTCTTGACAGACAGCAGCACGTACGTACGCAGTTGCTGATTTACGATACAGGTATTAAATATATCAAAATCCAAGGTTCTTTGTTCTCGAATTAGGAATGCTGTTCAAAAATCGAAGGCAACGGATAGCCGTAAGAAAATTCGAGTGCATGGAGCTCAGAGCAATACCGTGGCGAGAAGAACTGGTTCGAATGTCAGGCGAAGCACCACGACTGCGGCCCCTGTCTCGAAGAACCGAATTTCCTCCTCTAGACCCAAGTATCGGACAATTTCACGGTCCAGAGCCAGCGAGGAAGACGAGGAGGATGAACAAATCGACAGGCAATTTTACGATTCGTCTTCTAACGAGGAAGAAAATTCTGAGAGAGGCAACGTGGTCAGAAGTATAAACGAAAACGAGAGGACAAGGAACAGGAACAAAAGTAGACCGAAAGGTCGATCAAGTTCCAATCGGAATCGTAGGAAGCCAATTCGCCGCAAGGAACAAACCAACGATGATTCGAAGGAAGAATCACTGAGTAATAGATTAACCACTCCGGAACCTCCGACAACGCCTGATCCCGGCACAGGTAAGTTAAGAGTTAAAAGCGTAAAAAAATAGTAATCTTGCTCCCTCGACAGATTTCAAGTGCGAGGATGAAGGATTTTTCCCGCACCCTCGTGACTGCAAGAAATACTTCTGGTGTTTGGAGAGTGGTCCAGGTGGTCTCGGTGTGGTGGCTCATCAGTTCACATGCCCTTCTGGTAATCTAATTGCAATTGCTACGAGCAGTTTCGAGAGGTTTCAATCGTTCTAAAAATTCTTATCCTCGTGTGACACAGGACTGGTGTTCAACAAGGCAGCCGATTCCTGTGACTATCCGCGCAACGTTGCGTGTCCGAAATCGAAACCTTCGCAGTCGACCGTGTCCACGACCAGAGCGCCGATAACAGCTGCGACCAGTCGCACGACTTATCTCTACAGTACCACACGTAGATCGACCTCCGAGAAATTGAATACGGAGGAAGATTACGAGTACTACGACGAGGACGATGAAGAGGACGAAGAAGAGGAGAAGGAAGAAAAGGAGAAGCCTAAGGTGACTAGTACTCCGAAGACACTTTTATATAAAACGATCACCAGAAACAAGTCTAGCACTACTACGACCACGGAGGCACCCTCCACCACCTCAAAGACTGATAAACACGTTGCTCAGAAGGAAATTGATATCGCGGACGAAGAGGACCCTAAAGTTATCAAAGAACTGATAATGCTGATCAAGAAAGCAGGCGGTATAGAGCAACTGGAGAAGCAATTGTTGCTTCAAAACAAAAGTCCTAACAATACGGCAAGTTCTGGCAGCGAAAATGCTACTCCAGCTACGATAAGTCGTACCTTGTACGAACGCGTATTGAATCGTCAAGCCGGTAAAATTGCAAACAGGCAACGTACACCTACGAATGCGAACGGGCCGGGAAAAGCACAATTCGAAGGACTGGATGAAGTTCCAGAGGTGAAAGGTCTGAGACGCTCGCAGAAGCCGCAGTACGTTACCATCGAGAGATCAAAGTACGAAGAACAGCATTCCATGATGTCTCCATCATCGTGTAAAGTCTTAACGTTGACGGTGTTTTATCTTTGACAGACCTTCCACGAAGGAGCCGCCAACTGAGGACGAAGACGTTGACGAAGAAGATGTTGACGAGGACAACACAGACGTGGCTTCTTCCGAGGAGCAAACGATCAGCAATCCCTTTTTAACTAGTTCGACGCAGAGAGCAACGCCTAATTATATCAACATCAGACGTCCGCGCCCTTCGACGTCAAGGTAAGTGCAAAAGAACGCGTAGAAGAAGAACGTTGCCTTTTAATCGTCGCGATGAAAATCCCTCAGAAACGAGAACGACGCGAAGGAGAAAAACAAGGACGAGGAGGAAGAGGGGCCAATTCGACGTCGTCGTCCTGGCGTGTCTTCGAAGTAAGTTGGCAATGATAAGAAATAAAAAACGGAAATGAAATGAAAGAAATTTTGAAAAGTTAATGATTATTTCTTCGATTATAGAAATACCGAAACGAGTTCCGAAAATACCAAAGATCAGGAATCACGTTCGGCCACGAACGAGGAAAACTCGCAAACAACAAAATCCAGGTTTCTATCTTTCCAACTGTGCGTGTACGACGAAACAGCTCGTGTTACTCGATAAATTAATCGTCATTCCTAAATGTCCTAGATATGTCAGCGTTCAAAGATTCAGGAGCACGACGCCACAGTCAACAGAGGCTGTTTCGGAAGTTGCATCCACTAGTCAAAGCCCAATCACGGAATCAGTCGTTTCAAGTGAGCCGCCAAAAATCGATCAGCAGGTGGATACCACTACGACGACTGCTGTGATAAATATTCAACCTTCGATCGGCTTATCTTCGACACCAAACGATATCCTTATTGACCCGGAAACGGAAAAACCGATTTCAACCACTACTCCAGAGGCAAGCTCGACTACCGAGTCCGTGAGACTAGTCGAGGATTCGGCAACGGAGATCCTTTTAACCACGGCGCCAGCAAGCTCGTCCACGTTGTCGTCTCCAAATACAAGGATCAGCACTGCAACGGTATCTCAGCCACGACCATTTGGCTTTAACCGAAGAAATAGGCCTTCCACCGAGCCTACGACCACTCCACTTCCATCATCCAACGATCAGACGAGGTTCAAGGTGAGTATATCCTCGCGAAACCACACGCGCTCGTCCCCTTTGGTAGGACGAGGTCGATTAAGACCGAAGCAGGAGAACGCTGGTCGAAACGAGCCGATTAACGAGAACGAGCAAATCGAAAGCTCTCGCAACGTCGTCGAAGAGACACCCCGTAGTCGTGGAAGGTCAAGAGGCAGAGGAGTGAGCAGATACACGCCACCTACCTTCAGAGGCAAAACCGAAGATCCGTCTGATTCCGTGGTGAGAGAACGCACGCGAACTAAGGAAAATCCTACTAGTACGACTATCAACTCGGACCCTCCTAGGAGAAGATTCCGGCGACCGACTTCTAGATCAACCGAGTCCACTAAAGTTAACGAACTCGAGGACAGTCCCATCGTTAGGATCGCTCAAAGCTATCCCAGGAGAAGCTTGTCTTCGAGATCGGGAAATGTGGTTAAGGACGAGGTAGACAACGAAAAAATCACGAATATAAAGGTATTCAAAAAACCAGTTTCTGTAAACAGAGACATCTACGCCAGGACTAAGTACACGAGGAAGAGAAACAACGTGGAAACCGGTGAACGGAAAAAAGACACAGATGCTTCCGAAGAAAAATCCAGCGAGATTACAAGTACTCTGTCGTATTCTTCTACATCCGCTTCAACGGCAGATTTATTCGCTAACCGTTCTCTCAACGACACTGCAGCCACGACTGTAATTACAACCGAAAGACCGATCGTGAATTCCATAGACGAGGTCGACCAAAATTCGCCACAAATGACGACAACCCCAAGAGCACAGGAAACTACGGTCAGTTTAGACATCGAGACGAACACGGTTGAAACTGCTCGTACTACGGAATCGGTAGTGGAGAACGAAGTAGTCGCGGTAACAGATAATAACGAAAGCGATGGTAGGGAAGGACTTGACGAGGATCTCACAACGACCAGCAGCAGTATCAAAATCGAGAACATTGATCCGGACGTGATTAAGATTGTATTTCCTATGAATAGTACCGAAGCTAATATCGAGGGGAATGTAAACGCTGTTCCGAAAAGAAGGAAGGTTGTTTTAAGAAGAAGGCCAGTTTCAACGAGCACAACCGCGGCGCGAGAAGAGGAAGTAGAAAATAAACCGGTTCCTCGTAGAAGGAAGGTGATCAAGCGCCTTCGACCGGTTCAAAATACAGCGTCTACCGTAGAAGATTCATCCGCGGAAAAAGATCAAATTTTACTGAGATTTGAGTCCACGACTGCTAAAGAAGACTCAACAGATACGGTGGCTGCTGAGATATCAGACGCCTCGACGGAAAGTTTCAGTTCAGCTATGACAGAAACTGTCGCAGGAACAACTGACTTCGATGCAACCAATGGTTTCACAGAGGTAACACTAGAGACCACTCCGACTGCCGAGACTATGATCGATGATTCGGGTTTCTCTAATTCCGATATTATCACGATGGCCTCAACGATAATCGATAATATTACAGCGATCGCAACAGAGTCGACGACAAAGGAGGAGGAATCATTAACAGAATTGGGTACAACGGAATCAACAACTTCGAATTTTTTGATCAACTTAACGGAAACGGACGACATCCTCGGTGAAACGTTGCCACTTCGTAGCGACCTGGACACTTCGCCAACTAATTCATACGACTCTGTTTCACAATCAACTGTATCTTCGTTCCAGCCTAATCGTAGGTTAGAGGTGTACAACAGAACATATTATCTGGACTCAAGATACGTGAGGAAGAAATTTGTACGTAGACGACCAATCGGTTCTCCTCCTACTGAGAATACAACCAATAATCGACATCCGATCACGCTAACTTCGACCGACGTGTCTTCATCGAACGAGAGAGGTGACCTGGAGGTTCTGTCGAAACGCAGGAAGAGTTTATTCGTTCGACGCAGACCAGTTTCTTCAACGACCACGAGAACAACGCGATTGATCGAACAGGATTTAATCACCGACGATAAATTCGACGACGAAGAAGATTTGCGATTGGAGGGACAAAACGAATCCGAGAACGCCACTCTGAGAATCAATCGAGCTCACGATGAAACTCTCTATCCTGCTGCTCTGTCCAATGGGAAAGAATCGGAAGAATTCTGGAACCATTACACTACTTCATCGAACAATGGAAAACACCTGTATTCGGTGACTCCGCAAAGAGGTATAACACTCTATGAGACTTCTGCAAAGGACGTGGAGACTGCTTTGTTTGAGAATGAAGAAACTCATCGATCTTCTAGTAATCTGTCACCAGAAATTGGTCCTCGGTATAGAGTGCCAGCTTCCCTAAAGAAAACTGTGAGTACCCAAGGCCTTTATTATCTCGATTCATCATCGGAGGACTCGGAAGAAACGAGCAATTTGAGGACTAAGTATCAGAACTTTCGTCAACCGAGAACTCGTTATAAATATCACGAGATAACGAGGAATCGCGGTGAAGCGAAGGAAGAATCGGTCCCGGATGCCACTCAGTCGCCCAGTTTCGACTCTTCCACTCACGTGAGGACGCGTTTCTACGCGAAACGTCCAGTTTCCAGCACGGAACCACCGGTCACGGAGACCCTGATTCCAGCGAAGAAATTCGATTATGCAGCAGATGCTTACAGAAGGCAGCAATCTCGACGAACAACTCCTCGCATGCAAGGCGAGGACTCGACTACCTTGACAAGCTTGAACGAAGAACGTGCAGAAGTTCAGAATTTAGTAGATGGAGATTATGTAACTACTCCTTCTCCGCAGCCATTGGTAACGAGGCTTGTGACATCCGTCGAGGAATCGGCCACTACGGAAAGACAAAAGATTCTGATAAAAACCAAATACTCTTCGTTGACATCGACCACAAAGATTCCTTTGCAAACCACAGTTGCCCGACTGGACTACCCTTCTACCACAGTTTCACCGATCTCTGGCACGCTGGAAAGATCTACAGATTCTTCCGATGAAGCGAACGAGGACGAATCGATCAATGAGATTCGTCAGGCCCAAGTTGAAAGGTCTACCTTGCCGATAGAGGGTGAATTTCTCTATCAAGCACGATTCACCACGGAATCCCACGAATCGTCTACAATTGAGATCGAGTCTGTGTTTAGTAACTTGATCGGGAGCAGGGACTCCACCAAGTGATATCACATCTTTCCGAATCGTTCATCGTCATGATCAATACTGTACATAGACATGATTATTCTTATCGTATATATCATCAAAAATTTACAAGATACTTAATGACTTATAAGCCGAATAGATAGGTAGAATAAAAATGATCGAGTCTTGTGGTAATCCGAGGTATGGAAAGAAAGATGCGAAGGGAAAAAGATACCGAAACAATATAAACCAATAAAATATCACAACTGACAACCAGAAAATCAGCATGTCGAGCGTTGTATCGATACGAATGTATCGTCTGCTTCCTTTACTTTCTCTCTCCATCTCTTTTTCTTTTAGGACGAAGAGAGACTGCTAAGAAAGCTGTCAAGCAATGATAGAGATCGAAGAAAAAGGTTTCGGAACATCGTCATTAAGCGTGCTACCCTCTTCTGATTTTCAGGTCGCCAGCTCGGAAGTTAATAGATTACCAACCCTCAAGGAACTAATTGGTTATCAAACGAACAATTACACCAGCAGTCCGTCACCCATATTCTTGAGTTTGTTTCCTCTTAAAACGAAGAACAAAGAGGTTTTATCGCGTGAAAAAGACGCGAATTCGATTCTCGAGGAAACTACAGTTCGAGAGGATATAATATCGAATGATACAGAATCGAAATCCTGGATGACAAACAAACACGATAAAAAAGAAGAGAGGAGTAACACGGTTCAGAACGATTTAGATTTATCCATAGACGATATAGACGCCTATTACGTTGATGACAATAGCGCGGTTGACGATGACGATACTTCGTTGACTAATAAGAAGAGGATAGATCGCGAAGGTCCGTTGACGACTACCCTGAAACCTACTACCATGCGTGGTATTCCTTTAGTGAATTTACTAAAGAGCAAGGTACCGCGTGGATTTTACGTGACTAGAAGCGAAACGGAACATCCGATATCAGAGAAACTGGAGGATGAAGCGTTAACCACTGAGTTTACAACTCCGTTGATAGAAAGAAACTATAATGTCCCTGATAAAATTGAACGACCCGACATGGATAGAAAAATGGACTCTGATCTTCAAGATGATGATGAAGAAAATTCCAAGTCTTCGACCGAAGTCACTTTGAATTCCTATTTGTCTAAAAATAATAATGGAGACGTGGTCAGAATCAAGGATGAAGTCGATAGCGCAACTTCTTTGATGGATCAAGAGCATACAGAGAAATACATACCAACTACACCTGATGTATCGTCAATAGTTGATTTCACAGAGATCGAAAACTTGGAAAAAGACATAACATCTTCGGCTTCTTCAGCTATTACTATTCCAATTCATCCGACACCTATTACATCTACTCCTTCGTCTCCTACTGAACCAGAGCCTTCGATAGTTTCTAAATCTATCGATACTATGACCGAAACGTCTTTAACTAATAATAATAATAATACAAATGACAATAGCATCGTTACAGATGAGACCACTTCGATTTCTGTGACTGAAGTACAATCGAATGTCGTGTCCAGGACAAGCGTATCGGAACCTGTAACAGAAGCAGAATTGTATTCAGAGAACAGAACATATGCCGCAGATTTGGAAAATGGTTATTCAACGAACGGAAAGATCGGTAAAACGTACACTGATGAAGATGGGAAAAACTCTACGAGAAATAACGAAGATTCCAAGTTGACTTCGTCGTTGACAACCACGACGTTTTCTTCCACTAGTGTTGCAGAACTTGTTGAAGCACCGACTACTCGAACCGAGAGAACACTGAACAAATCTAACCTTCGTCGACAAAAAACTAGATTTAATCCCAGTTACGAATTTGGACGTAAGTCTGGAAATCGTCATTACGTAAGTCCAGCAGCAAAGGAAGGTCAAGAAGATTCGATAGAAGAAGTAAGAACACAATACCCTCGACGTAGGATTATTAATTATAGAAAATCTCAACGCAGGCGTGTCGTTACTACTAGAACTACGAATAACTCACTCGTCTATGAGACAACTACTCGTGCGACTAATTCCGGTGACGACGTTAAGGTAGTAGAGAATCCAGCTAAGAAGCAATTGGACAAACAAATTGAGGCAACAGGTTACGTAAAAAAGACAAAAGCAAATAATCGCGTAAGAAATCTAAATGACCGAGAGAGATCGTATAAAGAAGAGACAAGCGTGGGAAAGAAGCTTATGCCAAAGACATATCAGACAGGAAACAAGGCTGTCTTCAAAGAGGAACATCTTCGGATCGAGGAGAATATCGATCGATTCGAACCCGAGGTCAGTTTAGACTTTAAATTTGCTACACTTGTGACTCGATGACATAAAAAAGAAGTATAACAATTTCTTAATAATATACAATGCTAACTCAGATGCTATCGCTCGCTCTCTCTCTCTCTCCCTCTCTTTACACTTAACTAAACGAAGTGGGATTCGCAATATTCATGAATTACCAGTAAAAACATCAAAACGATCCGTCCTCGTTTTAGTTTACTGTTCGAACGAGAAAAAGAAGGCAAAGCTACACCGTCGATGATATTCCTTAAAAAATATAACCAAGTACAAGTCGATCGCCTTTCATTTCATGCCTAACGAAAAAAAGGATTCTATTCTTCTGTGACAACGATTAACGAAAAAATTGTATAACAAGAAGAAAAGTATGATCGAAAGTGACCATTATCTATGGAGGAAATTCATCGGGAATCTTTTCTGCCGCCATGCGTTCTTATCTTTATCTACCGCTGATTTATCTATTAACACATATTTTCTTCTACGAGGCGCGTGTCGCACGTTTTAAGACGCCTGCGCTACGCTTACTTGATTTCATCTTACGATATATTTTAACCCTTTGTGATTTGTTCATTTTGATACATATATTCACCGTAAACTTGACACTACTGAAACTATGTCTGTAATCTTTATTCATCGATGCTTATACAGTAAAATGTCAACAGTGCAAAGGGTTAATGCTTAGCTACGAAATTCAGCAATTTAACAAAAGAATGGAGTGCCATAGTTATTTTCCGCGCTTACTCTTCAATTATTCTTTTCTCCCTTTCTCTTGTGTATCGATTCACAGCGCTTTCTATCTCGAACGATTATTATTTGAAATAAAACAGTCACAATGTCAATCGGTATAAGCCACGTATTATAAGAAACATATAACAAATTCGAGTAAAGCTTTGAACCTGGATTATTTACGTCATAATATCCAACGTAGTTTCTATAAATATCCCTATAAAAGAATGTACGCCTTAGTAACATTTGATTAATCAATTATAAAAGCGTCATCGGTGAATTCGTTTTTGACATTCAATATACAATGTTTCAAAACCTAAATTTTCATCGTTAATTTATACCAATTGACAGTCAACTGATATTTTTATTGACCAATCACAAAATTGCATTCACCATACCGGCGAATAGACTCGAAATACAATCTGCGTATGATCTACGAACAGGTGAATTCCTCGAAGAATACAGTAACAACTCGTACACCAGGAAATTTGCCGTCAACCAGGTTGAGGAAACCCTCTACGTTCAATTCGACGTCATTGCAAAGCAAAACTGCAAACACATTCGCGAACCATCGAAAAACTCATCTGACCGACGGAAAGTTTCAGACTCATGTTAACGAAACACTCGGTAAGTGACGATACGACAATGTAAAACGTGCATATAACGATATTCTACAACTCGAAATCTCATATCTCGATCGCGTTATATCCCGTCAACTACTATGACGCAGCATGACGAGCCGGGGCACCGAGCTGCCTCCCATTACAGGCAACTACGCAGTACAATTTGCGCGAAACGTTTCAAATTCAAATTTCTTCTAATCGATGGACGAATAAAATACAAATTTATGGAAATAGTTGTTGAAGCAATATATAAGAACATTTCTATGTTGTTTTAGATGCCATGGATGAAAGAACAGAGACACCGAAACCTGAAAAAGATATTGATCAAAGTAGTAGGGCACAAGAAATCGCGGTGACTTTGGCGGATCCACCGTCTCCGCAATCATCAGCCACCGGTACACTCAACTTGTTAAATCCTCCACCACCAGATTTCTTAATCTCTCTAAACTAAAATATTAGGATGCATATTTCACTTTTGTTCATGAATCACTTGGGACATAATTTCTCATCGCACCGCAATCTTCGACTTATATTTTCTCATGCTCTTCCTGGTGAATCAATCGATGTGACACCGAAACTCTCATTTACTGACTTCTAATTTGTATAATTTTCCCATTCTGATATTCAAACATTATGAAACCTTCGAGAAACTACCAAGTTACTACCAAGAACTAATCACATTTTATTTTTCTCAAGAAGGTACTTCATTATTGGGGTTCTAGTGGAAGCTAATCAACATTTTTTTGACAACTCTACCTTGTCGACTTTCATAATCGTTCACCTGTTTTGCTAATCTTTTTTATCTTTACTATGCATCTCTACACTATAATTGCAATCATGTTCTTCGCCTCTTTCACTACCGTCTGTATCAACGCGCAATACGAATACTAATGCAATTATAACTTTTACGCACATTGATTCTCTTTCCTTCTTTGTCTGCATCCTATACGTCTGCAGACATATTTCGTTCTTCACGCTGGATATATCATATGCGTGCTGATGCATCCTTTATGTTCTTCTACGGGTGTTAACGGGATTCTTCTAGTCGCTTTTGTTGAAGATCGTATAACTAATCGAGTTACACAATCAGGTCGACCACTGTTAAGGAACGCCCTGAGGCGCAAAATAAGCACTACGGTTGCACCTAGAACAGACGCAACAACAAGCAGGGCTACTCTCAGGTTCACTCCGACTCACAGAGGTCGACAGAAGGCGAAGACGAAGGATAAAACTCAACAAAACGTGACGACAAGACCTATACGACCGCCAGTTATCGATTACGATTATTACGAGGACGAGGAGGAACCGGTGATTGGAAAATCCAACTTCAACGGAAAACTCTTTCTCACGAACAAAGGAACTATCCGATGTCTGGATCAAGGCAACTTCCCTCATCCAGATTCTTGTAAAAAATTTATTACTTGCGCAAAAATGGTGAACGGCTTGGTAATTGGGGCCGAGTACACTTGCCCCGATAAGTTATCCTTTGATCCGGTCGGTGGTATTTGCAACTGGTCAGCCGGACTTGGCTGCAAGGAGTAATTTCTTCCAAAGTATGTGTTGAACGTTATCTTGAAAATTACGTAAAAATATTAAGTGTTCAGTGAAACTGATAAATCAGGCACAAGATAACTTTTATCACAAGATCAAAATCAATTAATTGACGAATCTGAAAGATTCATTTTAATCTTTACAAACGCATGTAGCCATAACTAACGGAAACGAAGCGTGGTGATATTATCGTTAAAAATTTGTCTGTAAATATTATAGTTATTGTATATACATAGGTTCAGCTTACGTTACTTTATATATATATATATATATATATATATATATATTTATATTTATATTTATAAAATAATTTTTGTATTTGGAATAAAAGTATCCATTTTTAACCACACTGTTAGAAATTTTTATTTAAATATCCTTTGTTATATCGCTCACTTGATATGACGCATACTAGGATACGTTAGAAACAACTACCCAATCTTGTCGCTTTTTTTGAATACAAAATTTGAGCGGTCTTCACTCTCTTTCTCCTTTTCTCTCACCCCCTTCAAAGACCTCTTTTTTTTTTTTATTTTTTTGTCGTAGTTTAATTTTACAATGTTTTTTGTTGTTAAATTAGTAGAAGAAGATGAAATTGATAAAACAAAAGTAGAATTAGTCGACAAGTGTAATATGCAATACGATACGATTGCCGAGCTGATGTTCAGATCAAATTAAAGTTGTAAAAGTTATATTAAATGGTTTAAAATTATAAGAATTATAATTATGCATATATATGATTATTAATGAGAATGTATACGTGTGCATAATACGATATGAACGCATCGAAAATTCGATTTTCGAAAAAATTTCTCTCGATTATACATACATTGAACACATACGTACTTATTTCAAATTCATCATGTTTCACTATCACGAATGTTCATAATTTTATTTCTTTCTTTTTATGTGTATGCGTGTGAGTGTGGGAGTATGTGCGTACGCACGTGCGCGTGTACTTATGTACGTATGTGCGTGCGAGCGTGTATTTATATATGCCTGAATGCATACTGCTCAGTAGATCAGTAAATCTACCCAACTTTTTATGCGGTTTGTCTCTATAGAAAGCCCAATAATAATTCTTTTAAACAAAAATGAAAAAAAGAAAAATGAAATAAACTCGCAAAACGCGTTAAGATAAATATTGAAGAAGCACTAAATTCCAAGCAAAAAATGTCATAATATACCTTTTTTTCTTTCCTCGAATAAGTAATTGCATTTCACACACGAGCGTCTTCCATGACCTTAAATAACAATGATTTGAACGACAATGATTCGATTAAATGATATTTAGGCTGCTGAGTATAAATTGTGATCTAATACACATGACACAAGAAATGGCGGTTGCTATTTGAAAATTTTACATAATATTTCTTATATTACAGTGGCCTTTCATTTATCACTTCTCTCAAATATTTATAAAAATAAATACTTTGAAAAAGTGGCTTTGTTTACTACCGTAATTAATTATCGGAACAATAATAAATAATCATTTAATTCAAATAAATAAATAATTTGCCTTCTTTAGCATCGTTTCGCATTATTTAATATATGATTTGCGAAATATAAAGGCGGCTTCTCGTTTAAGAATTCGTCATGCCGCTTACTATAAAAAAATATGAACGTTGTGTTCGATTTCGAGCGTAATATTTTCTGGATCCTTAGCGAGAAGGTCGTTTCGTACGTACGTACGGATTTCCAAAAATTCGTTTATGTCGTTAATATCCTTAATTTATACACATGTCAAATTTTCGCAAATATTACGAGCATCGATTTGCATCCTATGCTTGACAAAAGTCATTTAATGACGAAAATAATATTGTATTTAGGAACTGTGCGATAGTTGTGTTTACTTTATCCAAGTACAACTAAAAAATCATCTCGCTTGGACAAATTAAGCTTTTCCTCAAAGAAGAAATTAAACTATATTTGAATGATGCAATTTAAACATCTTTTTCAAAAACATACAAGTACTCATAATAAATATAATTTTTCTTTTAATAATAATGCAAGGCTGCAATATCGACGCACGCGATAATTGTACGTAATCGTTTAATCACGTTTTACATTTTCGTATAGTATTCATTTATGGAACAGTTTCGTTCTCTTCTTTTCTGGAACGTTTGCGAGAAGGAAATGCTTATTATTTTCTCTATTATTGGTACTCGTGTGACTTTTCAAAGATGTTTATATACAATTGAAACATTAACTTACTAATTATAGGATTCATTGTAGACATAGGCAAGAAGCAAACGTTCTAGAAGAACCTGTTGTATTTGATTGTGCTATTCTTTTAACGTTAAGGTATGTAAATTGTATATTTATTGTCACTGTACAGACTTATTTAAGTACGGACCACCTTCATCGAGCATTAAATATCGCTTTTACTTTGCAGTAATGGTCGACATTAGCAAATATCGGTATATCAAAGTTTATCGCTATGGCTCTCGGGTTCCTTTACGTTAAAAAAATATCACGAATAAAAAATTGCTAACACTTGAGGCACGTATTAGAGCCTTTTTGTTTCTTTTTCTTTTTTTTTTTTGTTTTTTTTTTGTTTTTGTTTTTTTGTTTTTTCTTTCAAATACTTCGAACATTATACTGTATTTCTTGAGGCTAGTCGATGATTCTTTCATCACGGTGAGATTCGTAATTTATAAAGATGCGTTAGAGTACCAACACGTGGGACAAACGTTTGAATTAACATTTGATCTATTTCTTAAATTGGAAATCGTTTAAAAGTTTTTCTTTCTTTTTTTTTTTTTTCGATTTTTGATATGTGCCTTTACAAATCTGATTCACCGTATAAAGCAGTGGAGAACGAACGGTAATCTAATGCTCCAGGAATTGCATTTGGTCCTTCGTAAGGTGGCATTCGCTGAATACAGTATTCAGCCTGGTCAGGTGGTAATTCTCTCCTCAATTCGTCTGCTAAGATGTACGGCTAAACAATACGAGATGATATTAATTATAATCAAAATAAAATTATTTTCGTTACTTGAATGAAAATATGCAAACCTTGTCGCCAGCAAGTATACGGAAGCTATCGATAACTTGTTCAGCCGTATCAGTATCTGTAGATTCGCGAGTCATAAAATCTAGGAACGCATCGAAGTGTACGTAACCAGAATTATTTGGATCAACAATAGCCAGAATACGTTGGAAGTCGATATCGCCTTGCCTATCCTTTCCAATAGAATAGCCCAGAGAAACAAGACAAGATTTGAATTCTTCGGGAGCCAACCTGCCTGTTCGATTCTTGTCGAAGTGATTGAAGCTACTACGGAATTCATTAAGCTGTTCTTGTGTAATACCCTGCAATGTACGTTAAATTTAAAAGATTTTAGTTACTATAAAAAAAACGACGATTGTTCTTTAAAAAAAACCTACCTTCGAATCTCTGGTAAGAATTTGGTTTTCTACTTCGTTAATGTTGCGATTTATTGAAGTAAGTAGCTGTTCCCATCCAACTCGTAACGTTTCCATCGTATATTGAGTGTATCGGTTCTCAAATATCATACCTTCTTGAACAGCTTGGTGAATCTTTTCTAGTTCTTCGAGATGAGCTTTGTATTGATAGACCGCCTGTTCATACTCTTTCAAACGATGCAGCTGATCTTCCAGTGTACCCTGAAGACCGAGACCGATGGCGGTGACTGCGTCCAATTGACGTTCTATCCACGGTCCAACGGCATTAGCTTTCTCAGCAAACTGCCGTCGAAGTAATTCATTATTTTGTTGTTTACGAAGTTCTGCTTGCAGTGTACCGTCACGTTGAGGTACAAGTTGCCTGACATCGCTCCATTTCTTCGTAAGATCTAAAGCAGTTAGAGTAGTATACGGATTTTCAAGACCTCCTGGGATTTGGAATTGTTTCACGATTGATTCAACTTCGCGCACTAATCCTACAATAGCATTGTATTCTTTATCAGCTTCTCCTAGCGTTGCTTTAAACGCAGCATGGGCATTCATTAAGCCTTGGATTTCCTCCATTGTATGAACAATGAACATATCTACTAGATCTTCTCTAGTTCCATCCAACCAATTATTGAATGGCTAAAAATGATGTAATAACGATTAAGTATCGGAAAAATTTGTAATAATATATATAATAAAATAAACTTACAGCAGCCCGTTTAGCAAATTCCAAATGTAGGACATCAATCTTTTCGAGAATGCGTTCGGCCTCGTCTAGTGCTTGACGCCTACGTTGAGTAAGCGTACCCAAACGATCCCACTGATCACAAATTCGTTGACATCTAGCATTGACAGATGCACTGTCGTGATACTCCAAGGTACTGAAGAAAAAAATATCGATAGTATCAACATTTTGACATTATGAAAATAATTTAAGGAAAGAAATGTGATCAAGTATTCTGCAATATTACTTGAGCTCTTGAGCAATAGCAGCTATCTGTTCTACACGATCCTGGTGTGCTGCAAGATCAGATTCGAAAGCCTCGTGTTTTTTCTTCAAAGCCTTTAATTCGTTGAGTTTACATTGTCGGAAGTGTTGTGACGTGAGCATTTCTTCCTTTCCTGCGGTCCATTCTTCATGAGCATCAGCTTTGTGCTTGAACTTCTGAGCCAAATGTTCTAGACGCTCAAGACGCATCATTTCCGACAAGAGCCATTCCTCAAATGATTTCTCTGCCAACTCCAAACCTATAAATGAATCAAATGATCTTAATTTTTCATTAGAAATGATACTGAAGGTTTGAACAAGGTCAACACGAGTATTACGATGCTTCACCTTTCCAAGCTTTATTAATGTCGGAGACCATTTTTCCCTCCGTTGGCATATAAGCAGGTCGATTGCTCAGCCTCAGTTTCGTTTGTAGAGTATTGAAATTCGTTTCAAGTTTAGCTTTCTGTTCAACCCGCGGTGGCTTGTGTTTACGACGATACGTTCTATACTCTTCTAATTTCTTCTGACAACCGGCAAGGGAATTATCAGTTTGACGACTAGCCAACCAAGGCATGGTTCGTCTTATCCATTCTAATAAATCGGATGCCAGACGTTCGTATTCTTCCATGAGCCTTTCATTTTCTTGATTCACTTTTAGAACTTTGCAAATTCTATTTGCAGCAGTCTCTGCCTATAATGGAAGAAAGCAAAGACGTTTGTTTTGGCAAAACCAGAGATATATTCTTCGATGTATCAATCATTACGTATACGTTGACAATATAGAGTAGAAGTATATCATATTTTTCTACGTATTTGGTTTAGTACACGTGGAATGAGACATTTGACACAAATAACGTGACTCTTATGTGTTATCGATTAATTTTAAATGCAAAACACACCTTCTGTGCACCGCTAAAACAGTGGTAGTATGAGGAAACGTAAGTCATCACAGCTCTCTCATCAGGCATTGCTGTATTTCGCATATCTAGAAAAACACATTCGGAAAAACTCAAACCATGCAGTGTTAGCATTTAAAAGTATCCATTGAAAAAAATTGTCTACTCCTATCAAGAAGTATAATTTCAATTGATATTTGTGATTCGTTGGTGTATTAGAAATATAATGATTGTCTCTAGTTAATAACATCATGGACTGGTTGTACACTATAGGGGTAACAAAAACATACGTATAGATAAATCAAGAAAGTTTTTGCTACAGTCAATATTTCTTTTTACAAGTATGTAGCGTTTAGACATAAAACAATTATAACAGTTATACGATGAAATTAACATGATGAAACACTGTTAAGTGTAAGCATACGATTGTATTGTATTAGTGGAAGATAGCACAGGTCGTTTTGTAACCAAAGTAAGGGAACAACACGCATTTCTTTACGCTGACCTGCTGAGCACCTTGGAACGCGTGGTAGTAGCAGGACACGTACGTCATGATTGCACGCTCATCTGGCTTGGGTGTGTTGATCAAATCTATATGATATTAAGGGAATATAATATTAAGAATCTGTACGTTTAAATGATATGGAAAAAGCTCATTTGATCGTAGTTCCATCCTGAACCCCAACAAAATGCCTAAAGTAGTAGCAGGTTAACAAAATTTCTCTCGCGTTAATCGATATAAAATATGAATTAGAACATTCAATATTTGCTTTCAGTGACAAAATCATTTAAAGAGATCAGATATTTTGTACTTACCGTCAGGATCTAACATACGAGGAATGTCGAGATACTTCTCAGCAACATCGAAGGCAGTGTTCAAATTCTCTAAAGGATTATCCTTGCTAAGTTTATTGTAGTCGATAAGATCGGGACGATGACGATGGATGAGAGCGCAAAACGCCAAGCCATCCTTGAAAGACAGATGGAAGTTTTGAACATTGACATTTTTATACGGTGCAGTTTTTCGCTGGCACCACAGTAGAAGACCCTCTTTAGCAGTCATCTCCTCCACAGAGATATCTTGAATAGCAAATCTCAAAATTATGGTCCAGATCATTCCCAATGTCATCTTCAGGTTGCCATCCACGATTTCTGTGAAACATTAAATAACGTTCGTAACTTTTTCCTTAAATTCACTTAAATTCACTTAAATTCACTTAAATTCACTTAATTTAAGGAAGTAAACGGATAATTAAAGTATTTACCCTCTGCTCCAATAGAAACTAATTTTACGCCTTTACTGGCAATGTAATCGAGAGCTTTATTCACGTTTGCAATCTTGTGGAATCTCATTTTGCCTCTGTCTGGTCTTGGAAGAGTTTCTCCAGAAATTACCTCGAGTAATAGCATTAATTTCAGTCCATTTCTAAAGTCCTCCTCGATCGATTCGATAGCTGTTCCGGCTTTACGAAGGTGCGAATTACACCATGCTGTAAATGTCTGCAAATACATTGAGTGCATACATAACGACGACAATTAACAACGAGCGACAATTACTATTCATGTAACACCGATGTTTACTCATTTCTCGACTACCGTCATTTCTTCAGAACATCCCGATCAATCGATCCGCCATTAAATAGTGCAATGTTTCATGGCTAAAAAGAATTTAAAATGGAGAATTGAGCTTGACTGCTGCTTAGTGTATATTTTAGTAACGACCCCAATCCCTCCTGCTATATATATCTTCTGTCCCGGTTCTTAAACCGTGCTTCCTATTGCTCAGACTAAAGATTTTCAAACTCTTGATATATCGAAGCATAAAATTCGACATTTTATTCGAACACGCGATAAAATATCTATTATCTCGATAACTTGCCGAAAATACCCTGTAGCACGGTTAAACGATACGATTTACACGCTTTGCCTAATAATCAAGCGTTTCGTCCTTAAATTCGCAATATCCAATTTGTAAACACGAATTATGAAACAAGTATCTCCTCGTCGTATCTTCTATCGTAGCTATGGATCGAAACACGACTTACGAAAGAAATCTTTCACTTTTACATTTTAAATATGATAAAAAGAAAAAGAAAAAGAAACAGAAAAAGGAAAAAGAAAAAAGAAAAAAGAAAAAAGAAAAGAAAAGATAACGTAGAATTTATAATAGAAATTTCGAATGAAAAAGACATATTTATCGTTACCATATCGATTGCAAATCATATTTTTTTAATAATACAATACAGCGTGCCCCGTTGAGAAGAATTCACCGATTTGATAACGTTGGGAATAGATAATATCGTTATGCTGAATTTTACGTTGCTAAAAGATGCTGGAGAGGAAGGAAAAATGGCGCCATTGAAATTGGCGAATTTTTTCACAAAGAGATGGATGCATAAATAGATTAGTTGGCCAGATAGATAAATCGACAGATAAATAGAGAAGTGGGGAGAGAGGGAAACAGCAGAAAAATATTACCTGAAATTTAATACGGGTAGCGTGAAGCGCGACCGGCCAAAATTGGACATGAGCCACCTTAACTTCTACGAGCGCTCTAAGATCTATTTGTAAAACATTGACTCTTCTCGCTTATGCCGAGCAGTTAGGCTTTTCGAAAACACCTTAATTCGTTTCACTTTCGATCGCGATATGAAATTCGATAATTCCACATTTTTCTCCTCTTATTTACAGTTCGCAGTTACAGTTTATAGTTGGTACGCCGATCATCCCCGCACGCTTGTACCCTAAATTTACCATCACGTCCACCTTGACTGGTAGTCAGAAATTCGAGTAAATGACGAAGAGAAAATTCTCGAGATCCGAGAATAGGTGGTGCGAATTTTTTGAATCTCGTTTAGAATCATCGAATGGCTCGTAAATTATAACACGATTAAATTTATTCGCTGATAAATCATCCTATCTATATCTATATGAGAACCATGATCGCATTTCTCATGGCAACCAACAACTATCGTTTCAAAAATACGTGTTGCAAGAATTCACCGGCATTTTATAATGTCGTAATTCTCCTCCAACGCAGACATTGTTGTATCTCTATAAATATCCAAAATTTCGCTTTCCTGTAACTGCATAACGTTAAAAATTAAAATAAATATCAGCTGAAAATGAAATTCCGATAAGCGGAACGGTAACTTTGCGAAAATAAAACGAATGTCAGGTTATGTAAACAAACGATTATAGTTGCATAAAATAAGAATGAGATTACAAGGTTTTTCTTTACTTACGTTCGTGACTCATCCCTATCCCCCTATAAACAAAATTACTACCTCGTGCGATATTGCATTAACGATATGGGATACGCATAAAGACAGACTTTAATCCGCGGCATAGTGTCTGGATCGCGATCGATCTAAAGCGATTTTTCGCTAATCAAATATCAGGCCGAACACGAATAGGAAAGTGCGTAAACTTGAAACTGTTGGTACACAAGATTTTTGCTACAGATGTACCAAAAATAAATGCAGTTAAACACGAAACGGCCTGAATACGATGCACATAATTCACGTAACCCAAATTCTAAATATTGCTCGTGAATACGCTTGCAACTTATATCTATTCTTAAATTCTGGCATTGAATTTCTTTTTCATCCGTGTCAAAGTTCCATAACATGGCGGAAACTTCTGTGCCCTGTTCTCCGCGCCACATCTCGCCATTAATAATAAGTATAATTAGACGAAGCGTTATAAATTCCTCGGAGTGGGTGAAAAATTATTGGCCGAAGCGAGAAGTCCAATTAACGCGAACCCTTTTACGCAATTTCGCTTTGCCTTGAAACACATTAGTCTAAGGCCAAAATGTGAGATAAAATCCGAGCCAAAATCAAAGTAAAATGCACGTGACGATCATAGAACAAAGGTAGTTGTAAAAGAGATTTACGAGAATCGAGAAAACGAGCTGTCGGTTCACGACATTCTGCTGTTCCGATCTTGGAATAAAGCACAGGGAACAGGTGTCCCTGGGCAAGTAAGTTAAACTAGCGGCAATATCGCCGGTCAAATCACACGGTAACAGTTCTATCTCTAATAAACGTAGTTTGCACCTTTCACAAGAGTAGTTTGGTGCTTTCAACAACATCGTCCTACTTGTTACGTCTTCTGCGGAATCTGTCGCGTAGCCGATCGCCGCGAGCTAGCTAATCGGCGGCGGAAACCCAATGACTATGCCTGGTTATGATACCACATGAATCGTTGAAATTCCTCGGAGGAATTCAAAGAAAAAGCTACTATTGTGTCATCGTTTCTCTGCGCACCGCGCGCGCGCGCGCGCGTGTGTGTGTGTGTGTGTGTGCGTGCCGAAAATAAGCCTGCAGGATTATACATAACGGAAACCATCATATTCGATGGTCTATTTGCGGACAGTATCAAGGGAACGGACGGAAATGATGAAATTCATTCAAGAAACCATTCGAACCGGTTACGTTCGGAGTGGATATTTCGCGTAATTATCACTCGACCTTTGCGAATAGTCGGTTGGAAATAATAAATCGTGGGTATCGATTGCATTTTAACCAAGCATAATCGCGGAATCTACAACGAACAGACGGTAGCGGTGTTCGCGCGAACGGAACTTATCATCGCATAACAATCGACTTACTGGTGCATAGCATGTGTAGGTCACCCGATTCCAATCTAAGATTTGGCGCACAGCCGAAACTTCTCAAAGGTTAACGATCTTCTACTCGCGTTGAGAAAGAAATCAATCGATCCCTCAACTGTGTTATTCGTTGACAATACCGGCCCATCATTGGGACGCGAACCTATTTCTCTCTTTTCGCCTATTGAACAATCACCGGCGTCACCTTGCCGCCACGCTATCAACTGGATTTCCAAGCAATAACAGCTGGAGCAATCGTATGCCTCAATGAGAACATCTCGAGGGTGCGGAACGAATGAGACATAGCAGGCAGGCTGAAAAATCCCGCACAATAGTGGGTAACACCGTATCGTGAAAGGTTAAGCGCCGGCTAAGTTTCGACCCAGCGATTGATCAGAGGATATGGACCCGGGGTATGATCGATGTCTTCGACCGTATGCATTACCTATTTATACCGTAACGTCAAACGTCGTGCGAGCAAAAACGACGAAGAAAGTACATCGACGCCGCGTATCCCTGACGAATAGCAAAGAGTGCCACCGTATCGCAGTACGATACGAGTGACGAGTTGACAGTAACGTTAGATAAGCGGTTCCGTAACCTTCGTCGATTCTTCGCAATGGCACGTTTCTACCTTAGCGCACTTTGCTGAAACGATCGTTGTCTTCATTACACGCACACGTGCGTGAACGCATTCGCAATACGATTACGATAACCGAAATCGTGTAATACAACAAATACACGCCCCAACACGTTCGGCAAATACGGATCGTATCCGGTGATGAGCAGTTACCTCTCGCGATCGAAATATTGCCGACAATTGGAATTAAGATGATTTTTGGAATACGACGTATTCGGCAATGGATGAATGGATGAAAATATGATGACGCCAAAGTAAAGACAAATAGCGTTTTCGCGAGGCATAAAGCGACACGACCCATTTGAAAGCGAAAGAAAAAATACCTACCGCCGTTCCCCAGAATGCTTCGTGTGCAATTCGAAAGCCGACCAAGTGGCCGAGATTTTACAAGAAATTGTACAGTTAACTAGTCGACAGCTTCGTTTTCCGTGTATCTATCCACCTATCGATCGTACGCGGGACACATGGAAAATTTTAACCGTACTATTCGTCAATGAGAGTATCAATGAAACTCTTGGACATACACAAGCCAAATAGATGCACGTGTTTCGCAATTAAAAGCGTAATTCTCGTCGTATCGCTTCTTTCCACGTTATTTTCAAGCTTCGTCGAAACCATGTGCGAAAGAGTATTTGATGTAGACGACGTAGAAATCTCCAGGTCTGCGAATTTTTATTTTTACAATGTCAAGTGAGATCAACATTGACTTCTGAAAATCGGCATCGATCGTTAACATACTGGGACTTATTTCAATAAGAATGCTAGATACTTAATATTCATCGTCGATAGATTAACTCATAAAATGGAAATACAAGTTGATATCGAAGTAAAGCCCAATTGGGGTGGAGACAGAAATGGAGGACAAAATTAGCAACGATGTTGATTCGTCAGAATTGTCAAATACTTTAGTTAGATATTCCTAACGAGGTTACTGATACAGACAAAGAAGAATCTCGACGACAAAGTATTCGCAAAATCGTGGAACGAGATGCTAGTTTCGTTGGACACTTTTATTTCGATCAGATGAAATTGATCTTCTGAAAAGTAGGAAAAATATCGACGAAATTAAGATACTCCGAAATGACTCAGTGCTCGATTATTTTTATCATAAAGTCTGAAAATACAATCCAAAGGGCTGCCGTCTAGCGTCACATGTAATCGAGTCGGACTTGAGAGCCTTGAGCCTCTGCCAAAAATGAAGAAAACATTTTCAACGCGTACTTGAAGTTGTTCCATTTTATCAATTGACACCGTATTAATCTGCTTCCCTTGTACCTTGTCCGGGTAATTCTTCTAACGTTATCCATCGATACCGGCTAACATAATTATTTCTCCGTATATCACGAATCGAAATTTATATCGAGGAAGTGTCCAGTGTTGATAGAAGATACTTTGTACTCTGAGCTCTACAGGCTACTTCAAAATATAATACCTACAACTGATAAAGATGTAGGAGATATATTTTACATGTACACAATTACAACATAAATGTCTAATAGTAGAGGAATTCAGAAAAAGTAAAGTGTTGATTGAATTCGCGGGAATTGTATCATAAATATCACTAGGCGTTCATTTAAAACAAAATCGATTAAAATGTAACGCGTAGTTTCATTGCCATTCAAGTAAAACTTGCGCGCAATTAATCTGCTTATTAGGTTTTTAACTCTGTTCAAACTACTCGAAAATCGTACCGCACTCCGTGAGGTTATGTACAACGATTGAAAAATTGAATAAATAAATGATCTGCTAGTGTCAAACGTTCGAAATGAACGTTGTTACAATAATAACGATAATACCGTTTAATAGTGTTTCGAAAAAATAGTTACGTTAGTTAAAAATATTTATTGTAAAAGGAAACGGTAAAATATAACCGATTCGTTTATCCGGCTGTATATCATTGCACACTGAATTAAGCTTTTTCATCGAGGCGAAAGAAAATGAACAAAATACTGTTAAACGAGAAAAGGACAAACTTAACTTACCTTTTTTTGCTGTTTTTCCCAAGCCGGGTCCAAAAGACCTTCCCTCTCCCATTCCTCTTCTGGCTCCATGTATCCGTCCCCATAAGCTTCCATGTCGTTCATCCTTCCGCGGATATCTCACGTTCCTTTAAACGTAAATGATTTCTATTTCACACAGCTACAAATGTTCTCATATGTAAAAATCAACGAGCGAACACCTGATTATGTTCTCAGCACGATGATCCCGACCATAATCGAGATTGACAATTCGTTCAGTCTTCCCTTACACTTGCTTTGCGATAATAACAGACATTATGATTTAGCGTATCGCTGGACGAGAAGTGAAATTCGTCAATGTAAAAGAAAGCAGCAAAGAAATTGCACGCACGCACGAAAAATAAAAGGAGGGAAGAAAATAACGAAGAAAGGAAACAAATGTAGAAAAGTGATGATAAATATAATTCCAAAAAAAAATGGAAAAAGATGAATATAACTGATAGTTAAAAAAAGGTGTACGTTTTGTAACGTGAAAACGTACCCGCTAAGTCCAGAAAACGTTCGGTTCGTGTCGTTCTTTCTCTCGCGCTGACCCCTCTGCCACGAGTCTGACACACGATTTGCTCGCCGGCGCACGAGCCTCCCCTCCCACGCTCTTTTACTCTGTCTCACTCTGTCTCTGTCTCTGCTCTGTCTGCTGCTGTGTATCTCTCTCTCTCTCTCTCTCTCTCTCTCTCTCTCTCTCTCTCTCTCTCTCTCTTTACGTGTGTTTCTCTTGTTCTATCCCTCACTCATTAACTCACTTGCTCGCTTTCCCTGATTTTGCCCGTATCATTTGCTCGACACCCCGTCACCCTTTCAGAGTTCCTATTCCTAACAGCTTTCGTATCTAACCCCCGCAAATGCATACAAATGACACGAATCAAAGATTTATTCGATTGGTTAACGAAACATATCAACATCAAAATACATAATTCTTGTTTTAATGTAAATACCAAATGAACATATCCTATTATTTTTAATTGCTAACGTTATTCACAAAATTTATCATGTATATGGTAAGATCTAATTGTAACTTAAATTCATATATATTTTGTAATATATAAAACCTACTCAAAAATCAAATTAAAGAGAACTATAAATTCTACTTATGTGTGATTGTTATTAATAAAATATTGCTGTTTAAGTAACAAACGCGTTAAATCAAAATGAAGAGAATTCGAACATAGCTTAAAGCATAAAGAATCTTGATTGAATAGAGGTAAATTATAAATAATCAAAGTATTTTCATATATTTTTTAAACAATCTAACAAAATTTTGTTACATTCATCAAACCGTTTTAAGTCGTTTAAAACTCAATTTCATAGAAAACTACATACCCCGATACATCTGCAGAAACTAACCTCCGTTCTTCTTTTAAGCGCGAATCTCGCCCAGCAAACGGTTTAGAGAATACGAAGATATCAAAAATAGTATCAAAGACGACTAAGACACCTGATTCACCCACACACGATAAAAATAGTACGGTAATCCGCGTGAAATTCCCAAAACAACGAGAGTAACACCATTCCTCAAAGACTTCACGGACATACAGGCATAAGCATTTTATACATAGAAAGACAACAATTGCATCAGTTAGATTTACAATATTCTGTTTCTCCTTTATTTCAAACATATTGTTATTTTTAACTTGAAACATACAGTAATATTTTTTCAAATCATAAATTATAATAGATTTTTTATTAGGTAAATTATTTATACCTGTATAATATAATATACGAAATTCATGGACACTGAAAATTTTTAAAAATGTATAATTCTTGTACAGGACTGTGTATACATATGTATATTATCTACATAACTATATATATATATATATATATAAATAAATATATATATAATATATGTATATATGTATATCGCATGATATACATATGTGTATGTGTGTATGCATATGTAAATTTATTCTGTAATAACCTAGGAATAAAAATATAATTTTGATTCACTTATAAGTGAAAATTGCCACTTGTGATTAGTGCATATATTTGTCAACGATGTCGCCACGTGTATCTTTCTGTAGTCTTTTATCTAATCATTCCAATTTCACTCATGCATTTATTACGTTTGTATACATATAGATATATATACGGGAATGGACGTGAATAGATCTGAAGCTTCGAGCAATGGAATGTCGATGTTTATTGTCACTTATTAACTATATTCTACGATACTTTTTCAAAAAAGTATAATTAAATATTTCTTGTACACTCCAAACAGTGTCATTTATTCATTTATGAAATTATTTTTTGTTTTAAGTAACGTTGTGTAAAGAATAATAAATTCTGTAAAATATGTAAAATAATATTAATTTTTCTGTGAATGAACTATATTTAACATAAGATACAGTTTATAAAGCATTATTGTGACAAATAATAGAAATAACCTAACTAATAAAATGGCATCATCATTATCAGGTATTTAATTTTATTTATAATATAATTGATATTTAATTTTTGTATGAATATTACAATTTATTGTTATTATCTTTTATAGCGTATTGGGTAAAATTTTTTAAAGGAGCAGGATTTCCTCAAGATGTAGCCACGAAACATGCAGTTGTGTTTTCTAATAACCGTATTAAACCAGACATGTTACCTGATTTAGATAAACCTAGTCTCAAAGAAATGGGAATTACTTTAATGGGAGATATGATTGCTATTTTAAGATATGCAAAAAAAGTAGTAGAAGAAACAACATGTGAAAGGTTCTTAGTCGATTCAGAAGATAATGTTCGTACATCTAAACCAATAGTTAAAAAAGTGGCAACCAAGGCAATTAGCTCTACTTCTAAAGTAATTACTCCTAAACTTAAATCTGATACGATAATTGCAAAAAAGATTGTTAAAATTCCAACAAGTTCAGTGAAAAAATCTGTTATTGCTAAGAAATCAGTATCAACATCAGGTGATATAATTACAGACCTTGCTAATCAAAAGAAGCAAACCATTCTCAAAAGAAAATTAAAAGAAGATAATGAATTTGATAGTAATAATGAAGATGAATGGCAAGAAACACCTAAAAAGATAAAGTCACCTGATAATAAAGATGATAAAGTAGGATATACTGTAATACTTCCTAAAGGTTCTACATCTAGAAGTCAACAAATTCTTAAAAAGTCTGCAGAACAAAAGCGAACTGTATTTGATAGATTAGGTGATAGTTCCGTAACTAGTACAACAAATCCTACAGAAACATTACCAACATTTAATATTACTGGATTGGGAAAAGATGTTCTTAAAAGATCTGTAAGTGTTTTTAATCGATTAGGAGATAAAGATGCCAAAAAGGATAATATCACAACTCAAGCAGGTATATTAAAAAATGGATCAAATAATACAGGAATATTAAAAACTAGAGGTCCAATTACTAGAACTTCAATTCTTACAACAAATAAAATTATACCAAAAAATATGGGTACAATGCGAGCTGATCAAGAAGTAAGCAGAAAAGTTATGTCAAACAATGTTACACAATTGGTGAAAACAACTAAAAGAATTTCATTTAATAACATACCTTCAAGAGATAACAGAACGATAAAATCTAATGTTACATCTGGAAAATTAGGTATATGATTTATCATCAGTAACTGCCCTGAATATTTTTCACAGTTTTGTCCATAATCATCTTTTAATTTCTATACAACACTTTTTCAGCTTCAGAAAGATTGGCTTCAATACCAGCCAAAGCACGTTTAGGACTAGTTAAAACAAATGGTGCTAAACAAGTAACTTTTGATAGAGTTACGACAGTAGCACACGTGAAGAAACCGGATGTTTTTAGCCGCCTTGGAATTTGAGTAATCATTTACATTGTCTACTTCTCATTAAACTAACATATACGTTTGTGATCAAGAATTCTTTGTACAAAGTTATATTTCCTATTACATAGGTGTAAAAATACAGGAGGGAGTAATCATTAAATTATGTTAAACGAAAAGGAGAAATCAAATGTGTAAACTTCTTAACAGAACTTGATTATTGACATTTCTTCGTATGTCATTTATAGGTATTTATTTTAGTCTTTCACAATATAACAAATGTCATATTTTATGATTAAAACCGAATTACATCTTCTTATTAACAAAGCATACAAAAATTATATTTTCATATTTTATAACAAAATCATTGATACATTCATTTAAGAACATCATTGTATAAATGTAAGTAAAAAAATAAAATGCCACATTTAATTACTAACATATATAAAAAATTAATAACGGTAGATTGTTTATTACAAATAAGTGACAAATTTTTATACAAAACAGCTTTTAACTTTAATTAAAAATTACAAAATACTTAAATCAACAAAGTAACACGTAATTTTATTATTATTAATATTATATAAATTTCATTTATATAATATTCAAATTTATGTTTGTATGTAATCAGTAAATAAATAATTTATAATAAAAATGTATAAAAATAGTTTACATATTAAACAAATATATCATAACAGTAATAAAATCGGTACACTTCTGTTCCTCCAGAAGTAAAAAAAATATTTTTTACTTGCTCCAATCACAGGTAATGAAATATTTTATTGTATATGATCATTTTTGTTATAATTTAAACGATTTTCTATTATGAAAAATCACATAATACTGGAATAAATAAAATTTCTTGTATTGCAAAACTATTTTTAACACATGAATTTATGAAAGAAATGTTTTATATTACATGTCTTTTTAATTTCAATTTCAATTTCAATTACCATTAAACTCGATCAGTGGATGGAATGTTCCATATTGGTTGAAAATCCTCGGGATGCAGCTGAAAATTAAATTATAAGGAATTCAAAATTTATGTTTGTAATCTACAATACTTTTACATAGTGCAAACATAGTTTATATGCTCTTTCAGGTATAAGAAACAAATATTGATTTAATTGTACTCAACCTGTTTATTACAAAGTTATATATTGTATGTAAGAGAAGGGGGGCGATCGTGATTCCAACACTTTCCCAACAAGCACTAATTGCAATTGCTCCGAAATACTATGTTATGTTAAATGTTAAACAGAACGTGACAGACATGCCAAACCTCAACTAGATAAAACAGACAAATCATATTTGTTACAAATTTACTATAATTTATAGAATATACAATTATATTACTTAATTTCAAATACTATACTTTGATTAATAAAATTACATTTAACGCCCACCTTTTCATATGATTGTTGCTAGTAAACTTCAATGCCAACAAGGTACTATCCTGTAAAAAGCAAATAGTTACAATTTCAGAGGAACAGAAGTATCGCGATTTTACAATAACATATAAATGACAAACAAAAAGCTTTCTAGTATTCTAGTTACTAGACTCAAACATAATAAACACATCTTACAAAAAACAGTTTTTATGTTGTTAAATACCATTATTGCAAAGTAGCAATGATGCAGCCTGTGAGAAAAGTATTTTATACTATTATATGTAGTTGTACTTTAAAACACTATATAAAAAAATCTGTTATTTATAAAATAGACATATATATGCATATATGTACACATGTGTATGGCTACAGAGAGAAAAGTATATATACACGCATATATACACATACACACACACATATACACATATGTACATATATAATATAAATACTAATAACGCAACTTTCGCTCCATGTGAGAAATATTTCTAGGTTGCATCAGCAGCAAATAGACCTATGTGCTGACATACATCTTCTTGATACACCTGAAAATATTGATATACTCACTCCTGTATATGTAACAATTTCTTGCATTAAATTCAATAAGCATAGAAACAAACTAAAGTGTATATTACTTTCATTAAATTTTTATAATCCACTGATCAAGAAATACTTCCAAAATCTTTGGTTAACTTCTTCTGTAACTCATCATTGAGTAGACTTACAAGAGATACAATTAATTCCCCCTTCAGTTTGATCCCGAGTTTTTACTATTTAAATGGCAAATGGAACAGAACTCTAGTGATACTTTGTCTGAATTAACATGAAGACAGATTCCAGTATTATCTAGTGTTTGAGATATTTCTTCTTCTGTGAAAATGTTGGATGTATCATTTAAATTATCCACTGTATTCATCATCTCATCACATTTTGGAAGATCTTCAAATATATCCATATTGAAAGTAGACAATTGATCAAAATCGATCCCAATAGTATCGGTATCCCTTTTCTCATCTACAATTGGCAAATCTGTTTGACTAATTGGTAATAAATTATCTAATTCTTTTGGATTATCCATATAATTATCTTCAGATATTAAGCCAGTAGTTGATGTTATTGTGTTTATTAAATCTTTATTTTGAAAATTGCTCTTGACATCAACTACAGAATTTTTGATAACAGTGTAAGTATGATCTGGATCTGAAAAGGATAAAGAAATTTTATCAATGTTTAAATTCTTACATATATATTGTCTTTGGAGATTATTACTATATAATTCATTACTCTGATCTTCAGTTGTATTTTGTTCTATCAATGGATCACTATTAACATTTGTAATAAATATATTGGTATTCTGAGTATTTAATATATTTTCCTTTACATTTGTATAACATGTACATTTGTGTTGTACATTCAATTCATTTGGGCATTCAGAAACATGATTTGAATACAATGAATTTTTTCTCTGTGTACTAATCTTTTGAAGACCATCATTGATAGTTTTCAATAATGCAGTAATACTGGTATTGTTATTCAATACACTCTTTAAATAAGCGACTTCCCCACTTAATCGTTTTATGTCAATACCCTGTTTTCTTATAATGTTTACTAAATTTTTGTTTTCTTGTTGATAAAACGATAGCTTATTTTCTATTTTCTCTAAATACGCTTTTTTCTTGAGCCGATTCTCTCGAGCCATCAAGGCATTTCTGTTTAGACAAGGTCTCTTAGACGGACCCCGACCTCGCTTTCGTGGTTCCATAACAATATCATTTTCACTTGTAATAGACTGTTGTGCATTTCTCAGCGATTCTCGCAATCTCATTTTATACTTTGATTCATATGTATCATTTGCGTCTGTCGAGCTTTGCCACTTGATGTTACTTCCTCGTTGCTTCCCTGACATGGTTATAAATATTGATTCGTAATAGTGGTTGTAACGAAACAACAAAACTTTTAGTAAAAACAATTTCGATATATGAAATAAGATCGTAATATCAATCTGACCGTACAATTATTTTACTATCTACGCGTCACAAAATACGCAATTTTTTTCACCCAATTATGATTATCCTAGGATAAACGTACTAAGATAGTTAGTGTTCTCGAATCTTTAAATATGAACTTCTTTTTAGATTTTAATGGCGTTTATAGTGGCGCCATCACAAGTGTATCGCATTAAATATACTACTTTATGATTATATAATAAACAATTCATTTTATGTTACGATGTAATTTATTTTTTCTATTTTATTACTAATATTTGAAAACAAAATTCTTCGCGTAATAATTAATTAAAAATATTAAAAATTATTTAAGCAAAATTAAAAGCTATTGAGAAATTACTAGAAATGTAGTTATGTACATAGTCTTATGATATAGTTCGTGACTAAATTTTAGCTAGTTAAAATGGAGAAATGGTAAAACTAAATAATACAGTGGTCAGAAAATGATTTTTAACTGAGAATGCAATTTGAGAAATTGTAAAATCATGATGTTTTTAAAAAATATGAAAGTGGCCACATTTTATGGGAAAAGAATTATTTTATCACAGAATAGTTTACTGAAAACACCGAAACGTAATGGTTATTTGATACTGTATGTATATTGTAGTTGTTTTATTCAGAATAAAAAATTCACATATGAATTAATTTAAACTTTAAAACATGTTGACGTTAGTTTTAATGCTTTATAAAATAAAAATGTAGTGTTCCAGAAATTGGAGAAGATTTGCCAGGAAAATATCCTTTACTAAAAGAAGATAGAACTCCGGAATTTACAAATGTTACAATAGAAAAATGTGTTGCTGTTATTGGAAGGCAAACATTAGAATTGGAAGAAAAAGTTAAATCTTTAGCAAAAGATATAGAAAGTAATTTTATTTTATTTTACTTGTGTTGTAACTTTTAATGCAAATTGATCGAAACCATTTATATTTTGCAAAATTAATTTTTAGATGTTAATGACATTAGTCCAGAAAATCTGTTTAAAAATGTATTGGATCCTTTGGAAGATATGTCTAACTCTTTGTCTATCACATGGGGCATTGCAAAAACATTATATGTTGGAAATCAGAGTGTAATGCCCACACAATGTTATATAACTATTGATAGGCGTGCTAAAAGAGCTGATGCTTTTAAATACGTCAGTAAACCAATATATCAAGCATGTAAAAATGTCCTTAATAACAGCGAAAATAAATTAACTGTTGAACAAAGAAGAGTTTTAACAAAATATGTATTGGAAGGAAAATTGAATGCATTAGAATTATCTGGAAAGAAATCACAACAATTTACAGCATTGAAATTGTGGTTACTTGAAACATTAGAGAAATATTCACAAAAAGTAGAGGTTTGTAAATGTTACTAAGTTAAAATAATATTAGTTACAATCTTTATCAGTAATAGAATATTAATTATCTTCTGCTATAGGTAGCTACAAATAATCTTTCTTTTATATTAAGAGATCCTGCAGATGTAAGAGGTTTTCCTGAAGACTTATTAAAAGCTTTGGCACAAGATTCTACACAATATCTTACTGGACCATGGATAATTCGTTTAACTCCTAATATTGTAGAACCACTTCTGGGTACAAATATATTTATAAAATTGAGAGCTAATAGATTAGGCTTATAAAAGTAAGGATTAACATTTCTGTATGATCTATTAAATAGAGTACTGCCCTAATCGTACATTCAGATGGAAGATTTGGGATACAAATGTTATCAAAGCATCTTTATTACATGATAAATCAGTACAAACAAGTACAACATTAGAAGATATTAGACAAAAAAGAAATCAAGAAGCTGAATTATTGGGATATAAGTCATTTGTCGATTTAAGTATAGAAACTAAAATGGCAACTAGTGTACAAGAAATTTACAATGTATTCAATAATTTACTAGCTACAGGTAAAATTTGTGTAATTACATTTGGATCAATCAATAATTAGTACATACTAATTTGGTCTGTTTCTTAAAGCTCGTCCTGTTCAGGAATATGAAATTAAAGAACTTCAAATGTTTGCAAGTGAAGAAGGTCTTGAAGGTGAACTTCAACATTGGGATATAGCATTTTGGGGTAGACAACATCTACGTTCTATACATGGGTAATTATAAAATTAGGTTCAAAAAATTTTACAGAAAAAAAGGTATAAATATATATTATCATATAATTTGCAGATACAAGGAAGAGGATTTTACTAATTATTTCTCTCTACCACAAGTACTGAATAGTTTGTTTGAACTAACTGAAATATTATTTGATGTAAAAATAATGGAAGCAAAAAAGCCAGATGTTTGGCATAAGGATGTTCAATTTTTTGATGTCTTTGATTTAAAACAATCAACTACTGATCCAATAGCTAATTTTTATTTAGATCTTTATGCAAGAGGGTATGAAAAAGTCAGAGTGTCACAGGATACTGGATATATAGTACCAATACAACACAGAAGTAAAATAAGTGACATAAAACCATTAATTGCATTAATATTTAATTTCCAACCACCTATTGGCGCGAAACCTTCTTTGCTTTCATTCAAAGATCTTCAGACTCTATTTCGAAAGGTAAATTTTGTGTTAAAATAATATTTAAATTGTATTTCTCATAAAATTTTTTGTTATTTAGTTTGGGCATTTATTACCATATATATTAACAAAGGCAGAATGTTCACTTATTGCTGGACTTTCATTTGTGGAATGGGATGCAGCATTTATATGTGATCATTTTTTTGAAAATTGGTATATTTAAAAATTTCTTATTTTTTTATAATCTATGTTTGTGTACACATGTATGTCCATATTTAAAGCATTTATTCATTATTAGGTTATATGAACCATTATTTCTACAAAAAATTTCATGTCATCAAGATACAGGAGAATCATTATCACCAGACATGATTGAAAAGTTGATAAAGGCAAAGATGAACTTAAGTGGTTATAATTTATGTAAAGAGCTCTACTTATCACAATTTGATTTAGAATTATATTCTGGGTAAGAATGGATATAAATAATATGTTTATAACAATGTACTTAATAATTTCTTTTAAAATTTATAGCAAAGAATTTTGGAATAATATAATGGGTCGTTTATGGAAAAAATATTTTGTACTGCCTGCATATAAAAGAGATTGTCACATTTGTTCTTTTGTACCTATATTTAGTGGAAGTTGGCCAGCTGCTTATTATAGGTAAGATATTACAAATGTTAGAATATTAGTTTTACTAAAATAGTAAGAAATAAAAATTATATTTTCAGCAATATTTGGTCAAAAATGATTGCTGCTGATTTATACAGTGTTTTTCAAAATGTCTCTTACAAGGATAAAACATCGTTAAAGGAACTCGGAAGTAGATATCGCGAATCATTTTTATGTAGATCTGGTATATATCCTGCACGCGAGAACTTTAGAAAGTTTGTCGGAAGAGATCCTAATCCAAAAGCACTTCTAAAAAATCTGAGATTAGATATAAAATATAATATGCTTAAAATTAACAGTGAAACCAACCAAGAAATCTAAAAATAAGTTAATGAATAATAAAATGTAATTTATATAAAGAAAAAGTAATGAAAAAATTCTGTTTTCTGTCACAAAAATTTATTTCATTGCTATATTATAATATAGCTTTAATGATGAAACATGTTTCATTTTTAAGTATAAACTCAAATATATATTTTATTTTATATTGTATTTTTTTTATAAGTATAATATGATTCTTATATTCATGTATATATTGTAATTTGAAGTTAATACACAGCCAAAAAAATAGAATGTAAAGGCATTTTACACATATTTATAGAATATTAATTTACATTTAAAGAAATATTTAAAATTTTTACATAGTAATTGATTGCATTAAAAATTATGGAAGAAAAACAACTGTAATGATACAAATAAAAAGTAGAATTATTACTATCCAATAGCCACATACAGGACTTTTGAAACTAATCGTTTGTATTTGACGTGTCTTGTTAATTAATGATTCATCAGTCCTATCCATATGATTACTTAGATTATCAATTATTTCTGTACAAAATTACAATAATCTTAAAAAAATTTTATACTAAATTTATAAAGAATAAATAATATTACTTCTAATTTACCATTTTGATGATCAACTTCATTGTAAATAGTCTGACCAATTTCTTTTTGCCTTGCAATAACTTTACATAATTCTTCTAAGTTTTTATTTTGCTCTAGGAAGAAAATGAAAAAGATAATATATGACAGGAATAAAAAGTATCAAAATTTATACCTTGTACAATTATATTTTGCTGAGTCATAAGATCAGCAACAGACATTTGTACATCAATAGGTTTATCATCATCATCATCATCATCATCATCATCATCAGCTGCCCAAGAAGTTGTACCTCCATCTGCAAAAGCTGGTCCTGATGTAAGCAAATTTGCACGAGAAAATGTTATTTTATTTATTCGTGCGTCGTATAATTGTTGTAGCCGTACATTCGTACTCTCCAATTTTTCTATTTCACGCCGTCTTCGTTCTGCTTCTTCAGCAGTTCTGTTTTTTCACATTTTAAGGAAAAAAATATTATGTCTGTGTTGAGAAATTTTATGCTTTAAGTAGATAAATAAATAAATAAAAGGATACATAGCTTTAAATTTTAACGTATCATCTACATTATTCTTAAGTTGTTGAATGTTACTATTATATGTTTTTAAACAAGTACGTATATCTGAAAATATTCTTGTGTATTCTTGCAATGTTTCTGGACGTTTATAAGTAGTTAATTTTTCCATAATTTCTGTAGAAAGTCTTTTACAGGAATCATATTGCATAAACCTATGCAATTTAAATGAACACATAAATATTCATATTTCATATGTAAATAAGAGACAAAAATTTATTAATCTTACCAAGGATCACTGTCATCTATATAAATTAGTGCCATTTTCGTAAAATTATATATAAATTTAATTTATGGAAAACAAAATTGTGCTAAATATTATGTTAAGTGTGACATATCATTCACATAAATTTCTTGCACACTAATTGTCGAAGTTATTACTATCATTCCTGGATAAATATTGTTTTCAAAAAAAACATATAATCTTTTACAAGACAGAAACACTGGTTTTAATTAATTACTCTTTATCATTTCATATGTGACAGCTGTACAAATTTATAAGTCTCATATAAAAAAGTTTTGGCAAAATTGAAATGTTAACGTATTAGTAAACAAAGCGTTCATAAAGTAAAACAATACCTCCATTCGATTTATTGCTAAGAATGTAATGTAATCATGAGTAAGCGCATGCGTTTGCAACGATAATTAAAGAAAATCATGGTGGGGATTTAGCAAGAAGGAGAAGGGAAAAAGAGATCGTCTGCAAAAGTGAAACAAAGAGAACCAAAGGGAAGATTTACGGGTGGAAAAAAGAAGAATATATGGCATAGTGGCAAGACCAGTTATATTTTTATTATCAGCTAGTATAATTCGTGAAGCTGTTCGAACGAATGTGTTTGACGTCAAAGAGGAAACAAGAAGAAATGCGAGAAAATGTCGGTTAAAAGTGAAACTCGGTGATCCAAACTGGATAAATATACAACGAAAGAAAGAAAATTCGGTGTACTATTCACGTTGCCTTTTAGAAGGTCACGATCATCAGTAACCGTTGCGTCAGTAGATGGTTAATCGAAAGTGGGGAACCTTCAAAAAGCTTGATCATACAGGTCAACACGTACGTACGATACGAAAGAAAAGGAAAACATATACGACAAACTAATTTGAAAGGATCGCACGTATGCTACAATTGTTTGAAAAAACCTACGAATGGAGCACGGGTGCGTCCACGAGATGAAATTTTGCGCACGAATGGTGTACCGTTGTTATTGTTGTGCATATTGATTTTTAACGTGCGAGCCATAATTTCGAAATTTATTCTGTGTATCAAAAATACGTTCTTTATTATATTTTTTTTATTTGTGACTGTGATTAAGATGAATTTTCTTGGTATTTATAATTATCCTTTTCTTCCTTCAATTATATTAGATTATTATTATTGTTTGCAATGCTAATTTTTCTCAGATTGAAATATGAGTAATACGGTGACAACAGAACCATCCACACCTCTGGTTGACATGACATCTATAAGTATCAGTGCATTTTGTGAGAATACTTCTCCAATATTCTTACAAACACGAGCAGCTCAAGGTATTGCTGGTGCATTTGTTTGGGCTGCGTTATTTTTAACTTGTCAACAGGTACTTTATGATGTTTTTGCTATATCTATGTTAATTAGAAGAATAGAAAGAACTGTTTTAATTGAATTTTTCTCAATAGATCTATCAACACTTAAGGTGGTATACAAATCCAACAGAACAAAGATGGATAGTAAGAATTTTGTTTATAGTTCCAATCTACGCAACTTATTCTTGGGTATCTCTATTATTTTTCAACAGCGAAAGTTATTATGTTTACTTTTTTACTGTACGAGACTGTTACGAAGCATTTGTTATATATAACTTTTTGTCTTTATGCTACGAGTACCTGGGTGGTGAAGGAAATATTATGTCTGAAATACGTGGCAAACCTATCCGTTCTAATTGTTTGTATGGAACATGCTGTTTGGTTGGGAAAACATATACAATTGGTTTTCTTAGATTTTGCAAACAAGCTACTTTGCAGTTTTGCTTAGTAAAACCAGTGATGGCATTTGTCATCATATTCCTTCAAGCATTTGGCCATTATAGAGATGGAGATTGGTCTCCAGATGGAGGATATATTTATATAACTATAATTTATAACATCAGCGTATCACTTGCACTTTATGGACTTTTTCTTTTCTATTTTGCTACAAGAGACCTATTAACACCATTCGAACCTGTCTTAAAATTTTGTACTGTTAAGAGTGTTATCTTTCTTTCATTTTGGCAAGGTAATATATGAACATATTTAAGATTCTATTTTTATATATGAGCAATATTAATTTTATTACTTTTCAGGGGTGCTATTGGCTATTCTTGAAAAAGCAAATGTAATTTCTCCTATAAGTTCAGATCAATCAACTAGTGCAGGCACAGTTTCTGCTGGTTATCAAAACTTTTTGATTTGCATTGAAATGTTATTTGCTGCTATAGCTTTACGTTATGCATTTCCATACCAAGTGTATTCAGCTGGTTGTGTTACGGATTCAAGAGGGAGAAGTGTAACAATGCAAAGCATTAGTAGCAGTTTGAAGGTGCATTCTAAATAATAAGTAAATTATTTAACGTATTAAACAATAGGATTGATAATGTTTTAATGTTATGTGTATAGGAAACCATGAATCCAAAAGATATAATGACTGATGCCATCCACAACTTTCATCCACAATATCAACAATACACCCAATATAGTTCTGGTATGTATATTTTTATTAAAATATTTTTTTAATTAAATATTGCATTTTAAATTCTTATTATTATTTTATTTGATTGATACACTTTCATGTAGCATGATGTAGTGAATGATGAATTAAAATCACCCATATTTTATTGTTTATTTATATTTATTATTTAAATCTTAAACTTTTTACATGCAAGTTAAAAAGATATAGAAAAAATAAGTTATAGTCATTAAAAATCTTTCATTCAAGTTTAAAATAAGTAAATATAATTCTTATTATTATGTTACTTTAACTGTGAATTTTAGCCTCTTGTATAAAAAATGTTTATTACTTTAATATATTTGCATTTTCTGATATACTTTACTGCCAATTATTTGAAGTGTAAAATAGTATAAATTCATTTATATTTATCTTTTGCAATAGAAATATAATGAAATAATCCTTCAAAAGATAGAAACGTATTTTTTATCATACATTCAATTAATATGTGCCAATTAGGATTAAATTCTTTGAAGGCACTTTCTTTTTACTATTTTTCAGACGTTAATACCAACTTGCCGTATGAAAAACTATAAGAACACGAGGCATCGTTTTTTAATTTCAAGAAATTGGACATGAGGCAATCATACATTTTTAGTGAAGATAGAAAAATTCTTAATATTATAATTAACTAAAATTTACTTTACAAATTTACTTGTTATTTAAGTTAAAATCAAGTTCAAGGGTGGGCATAGTGTTCTCTGCTCAAATTATGATTTAAGGTTTATATTAAAGCCAATATCATAAATTACAAATATATACATTTGCATACATGATACATATGTACTGTACGATAGAAACTAAGCACTTAACACAAGAGCACTTAGAGTACAGTGTAATTCCATAACAAATTTTGCTTTCTAATAAATGCAAAAGACAAATAATAATTGACTACTATTCTGTGGCAGTATTGTAATTATGTATTATTTTATGATTAGATCAATGATTATTAAAATATATAGTATTGTTTTGTAATGCTTTTATATGTCAGAATATGGCATGATTTATATTTAATTTAGCATGCTAATAATATATATACTTTCAAATGTTTTTTCTTACGTATGTATGATTGATAATTTTTTCATTACTAGCAAATTTAAATTTTAATTGTTATAACACGCATGAATGTTTCAATAAACGTATAATTTCTGTAGTAATGTTGAAAAAATAAAAAATGATGCTGTAAATTGTGCTATGGATAAAAAGATTTTATTAGATCATGTATAAAACTGTATATAACATGTAATCGATGCAGCCAACAGTACTTTGAATGAAAAAAGAAAAAATGAAATACACGCATGTTTTCTCTCTATTCACTGGCTGATCGATGTATTCATTAATAACGGCTTTGCCAGCGATAATACGTGATGTAATATAACAATCAGGAGCTCCTAAAGGACAACGTGGTATGCGGATATCCAGCTTCGATCCAGATGATCCGCAGAACATGCCAATACCACCACCACAAAAACGGCATACCTCTCATCAACGTGTTGCTACAATTTCTCAAAATTATAATGAGAAAACAATGCTGTTGAGCAGTGATGATGAATTCCAATAGATATAAATGATAAATTGTGTACAAAGAAAGCAAAACAGAAAGAGACGAAAAAGAACATTAACGTTGGACTTCCGTGAATCTAATTTCAAGAAAACATTATATATACCGTTAATTGATTATATGTCATTAGGTAGGAACTTAACTCGCTCACAGAAAAACAACAGATAAAGAAACAAATTGAGTGATGCAAAATTGTGCATCACAATATAATAGTTCCATATTACATTCATGTTAATACATGTATTATGTTACATCATATAAACATAGCATAGAAGATATTTATTTTAATATGCTCGATATGTTTAAGGCAATGTTACCTATAGAGGTGGCTCTATTATGATAACATAATTATCCTTATTTTAAAAACAACTTAGGTTTTTCAGAAAAAGACACTGTACAGTACTTAATGTTCAAATATTCACGAATATGTTGCTGTATTATTTACTGTAGTTAAACAATATTTTTACACTTTGAACAAACACTATGTATATGTTTATATATCAGTATTTCTAATTGATATGAGATTAATATAATTTTGCCGGTGAAAAATACTTATTTTATAAAATACACTAAGAAAAGTACTTCTAATTATTGCACGCGTCCAGGATTTATATGTGTGTGTGTGTATATATATATATATATATATATGTATATATGTATATGTATGTATGTATATTCATATATTTATATATACATATAAATCTGAGCCACAAAGATCTTTGCGTCCTAGATTAAAAATCTAATGAGTGTATATATCCTTAAAATAGAATGTATTTAATAATTTATGGATTAAAGAATTTTCCTTGAATGTATTTGTTTTATTTGCACATAATTATTTAGTACTTATTGTTAATGTTATATGTTATTGATTTTATACACGTGAATATTTCATATTCAATATTTTACATGTTTTATTCTCTTAAGTATTTTAAAAAATGAAAACAAATGTTAATTTAGATCTAAACAGCTCTTTATCTTTTATTCAATAGAATAGATTGTGTATACATAAATTATTTTTATAGAGGAGAGAATATATTACTCTGCTCTATAAAATAACAATAAAATTTATTTGTGAAAATAAATCATCATTTTGTACATTTAACAATTAGTGTGGTTTATACTAGTTTTAATTTTTATTAGTGGATCCATTAATCGAAAAATATGAAAATAATTAGATTAATTTAAATATAGATTAATTGGATAAACGATTGAATTTAATTGCTCTACAGAAATATATAACATAATTACATTTAATGCATTGAAATATTACAATTACCAGTGAAAAAATAACTTAGCATTTTGTTAACAGCCTTATTTTGGCAGAAAATTTGTGTGCGCACACACTAACATATATATAATAATACAATATTTATTACATTTCTTTTTACCAACCTATCCAATATGTATCTTTATTTGTTACAATTTTCTTCCACCCATGCCAAGGTGATTCTAAATCTTGTTCTAATAACGAATTGTATGATTCTTTTTCTTTGCATTTAATAGGCAAAGAATTTTTGTCTTCATCCTCGATGTCTTGATATTGTAATTCATCATCCATGTAAACAACAATATCATTTTCTTCATTTGTATATTTATTATATTTTTCGGTAACACTTTGTTTTAGTATTTTGTTTCCTTTATCTTGATCATTAATATCTTCACTGCTATTATTAAAATTAATTGGCTTAAATCCTATTGATCTTAATCGAGCAATTTTTAAATCATTATCTGGTATATTAACAGGTACAAATGCAGATACTCTTTCAGGTGGAAATTTATTTTGCTCTTTTGTACTCAAAATACTATTATTTAATAGTACATTTGTATTCATAGGCTGCTGTAAATTATATACAGTTTCCGTACAAGATACACATTTTTCCTCAGTTTGAGATGTGTAACTTTTATTTTCATTATCTGACCTCATAGCTTCATATATTTCAGATTTCATATCTTTAAAATCACCATATTCTATTTTAATAAAAGTGTATTGTTCATTACGAACATTATTTTGTACATAACTGCCGGATTTTAAGTTTTTTGCTAATGGTTCTTTAAGGAGAGAACACTGAGTGACAGCATCTGTTTTGCAAGGTTTTGAAATTTCTTTTTCATAATTATTGTAAGCTTTTTTATCTCTTTTGTTACATTTTGAATCTTTATAAACTGATTGTATTAATTTTCGTTTTCGATTTTTAATAATTGTTACATCTTCATTTTCTACAATTTTAACACTTTTTTCTACAAATTTTGATTTTTTATTATTGTCTTTCTTATCGTTGATGTTATTACTTTCATTTTTATTTAAATTACTATTATTGCTTACAGTTTGTTTTACAATATGATTCTTACCTGCCTTTTTAGAAACAGTGAGATTCCTGCTAATTTTATTATGCTTCAAATTTAATGTTTCTGACCTTTTAACATTTCTAGTTTGTTTCCTTTTAACACGTTTACAGCTAGTTATTTTTCTAAGTTTGTTCCTATTTTGGAAAGTAGACCGTTCTGATTTAACTTTACATTTATTCAACGTATACATTGCAGTATTGAAATGTCCATATGATTGTTTTGTATATTCATTATTAATACATCGTAATCTTCTGTATCGTGGACCACGTATTTTGGGTTCAATTTTAGCATCAATTAATAAATTTGTAATTTCTCTTCTTTGTTTTTTATTTATATGTTTCTTTATCGATGAATCAATTGTCCTCATTTGTAAGTGCATTCTTGCTTCTATTGTATTTCCATTATTCTTGTTAATATATCTTGTTGAATTTGCTAAACAGTTTGGTTCTCTTTTTTGTACATGCTTTTGTTGTATACTTTTCTTTTTTAAATCTTTGCAGATATCTGTTTCTCGTTTATCTTTCCGAGAATATTCCAAAATATCTGAAGATTTTATAGAACCTTTTTTAAACTTTTCATTGTGTATTTTATTATATTTTATCATTTCTGACTTATTCACTATCTTTCTGGATAGTTTTCTACGTCTTCTGAATTTATAACATCTTGATCCACTTAAATCATCTGAAATAACTTCAAATTTAGTTTTTTCTTTAATTTCTTCTGTATTACTTTTTTGTGTTACTATTTTATCTTTGATTTCTGATTTAGCTGTTACTATTTCTCCTGTTTCTAAGGCTATAGTTTGTTCTGATGTTAGCCCAATCATATTACGCATTAGTAATTTTGATAAAGGATGATTTTTATTATTAATTAAATGAAGAATTTTATCCGGTGTCATTGAATCTAAAGAATCAAGTGATTTCAATTCTTTTACTTCTTTGGATACCATTTTATGAGCTGAAATTTCATTTTTGTACATACAGTTTGTCATGTTCAACATACTAGTTGTTATATCAGATGAGTTTAAAGTACTACTACATATGTCTTTAGCATCATTGGGTATCTCTTTATGTGTAATATTACATTCAAATCTATTCAAATAACAGGAATTTGAATTTGTATTATTTGTATCACTTTTTATTTCTGCACTTATATCTTTAGGAAATTTTATTTTTCTTGAGTCTGGTTTTCCTGTATTAAAAGATATATAATTAATACGCTTAGGAAATTCACTTGATGTTACTGTTTGGGTTCTTCCATCTAAATTTCTTTTTTTGTCTTTGTTTGACAAATTCCAATTTTCAATATGTTGATTAGTTTTAAGGATATTAAGTGATTTAGCTGTCCTACAAAATGGTGATGAAGTATTTTTCTTACTTTCGTTTTTTGTAGTATGTGATGAATTGTACAGTCCTGTACGTATAGAAATATTTGTATTATGAGTTTTTGATCCTCTGCTTCCAATATGAGTTAATGATCCGTTTTCTGAGATGACAGACATGTTTGGTAAATTTGATGCACATTCTGTATTAGTGTTTAACTTTTTAAATACATGACGAGTCACAATTGCACTTTCAGTTGCATTTTTCTTTCTTTCTATTTTTTTATTTTCAATATTTTGTAATTGTGAAAATTCATTTGAATTTTCATATTTCCTTTTTTGAATTGTAGTTTGCAGACCATGTGAATATTTTTTAAATTCGTATATGTTTGGAGCAGAATTTTTTACATAGGTCCGTAAAGATGTAGGTGTAGAATGTAAAGTAGAAGTATTTATAGATAACAAAGCTGGTTTGACATTCCATGATGGTGGCTCCTGATCATTTAAACGTAGCAGAGCAAATTTATAATATTTTACAGCATTTGAACTTATACCTATCCAAAAGCTTGTTACAATGTACAAACCATCATACCTATAACCTGTTTTAGGTGCAAATTCATTAAATAAATTATAGCTCCTGATTAATCTCACTGGTATTTGATTTTCATAATTTTGAATGAGTGGATCTTTATCTAATTGTTCAACAGAATATTTCTTTCCTGTAAGAGTGAGGCATTTACCCAAATCTACATCTTCATTTAGATTAATACTTGAAGTACAAATTGAAGTAACTCCAAATGGCCCATTCTGAACATTTTCATCGAAGGGGTCATGAACACGATCCCTAGAACAATCCATACGAATTCCCCACCATGAACCAGATGGAAATCCTGAGATGGGGCCATATATACAACTTGTGACCTGATATAAAATATTATAATGTAATTATGAAATTTATATAAGACAGACACATTATAAAAATAATATCATTTGAGACCTACATTTTTGTTACACCAAGAATTTAACTGTATTCCTTCTTTGGTTGATTTTATTTGACAAATATAATTAAGTTTAATAAACAACTTTTCATAATCTTTCTTGTTCTTTATATCTACCTGAAAAATTTTCATGAGATAATAATATTATTCATGTATTAGTATGTTCATGCAATACTCACTTGACTTTTGAAACATGATTCATGTAACATTTTTTCATTTTCTTGAACACTGTTTGCACAAAAAGTAATTGCAGCATTATCTTTTGCCATTTTATAACAAATGATGAATAAAACCATGTATACTGCATATATAAACAGTCAATCACAAACTATTTTTTTCACTTGTGTGTATGCAGTAAAAATCTTGAAGGTATGTCAAACTGCTCCATTTGCAATGTCGGTATATGTTATATTTAATAATATTATATAAAAACCTATATTTTTTTTATTTAAAGTTCAAATTAATATATATATTCTAATTTGTTTTCTAGTCAACATTTTTGCTGCATTTCATAAATTAAGCATAAAGCAAATTTTTTAAAAAACAAATATGGCGTACTTTTATTTTTTCCGTGTGTCTAGTTTTATACATCGATCATTTATTGCGTCGTATAAAAGACGTAAATATATTCTCTTAACGAGCCATGTTTATCACTTTTTTTTTTTCTTTATATTAGCTAACGGTAGATAAAAATATAGAAAGTCTGAATTATAAATGATGCGATTGTGATAAAAATATTAGAATAACTTTGGAGCGCGATTTGTTTGCAGGTTTACTCAAATAAATCGTTTCACTTTAGGGGAATGTTAGGAGGGGAAAAGATCTCCTTCCACAAATTAACATAGTTTTCAATTATATAGTTTTGGTAGCATTGACTATTAAACTACTATTTCTAATCTAAATGAAATTATACATGTGCACAAGGCGTAACCCCATTATATGTATATCATTAATCAACAATGTATTTTATACATATCTTTTTTATTTACCTATGTAAATATCAATTTATATTTATTTCTATTTATTGATGCACTTTGAATAATTTCATACATTTTTCCCATTTTAAATAAAGTAAATGTATCTACCTCTTTTAAATTCATAAAAAAAATCTTTATTTTTTATAAAGTGTATTAACATTGAAAACTTATTTTTGTACAAATTACTATAAAAATGAATGTCTTCAATTTTTTCATTATCATTGAAAAGAATGTTCTTCTTCTGGGCTCAAGGAACACTCAACATTCTGTTGACTAACAAACATGTTCTGTGCCTTTGTTGCTAAATTTCCCTATTATAGAATAATTTTCATATTTAATAATTCAATTAATTATATTTTTCTAATTATACCAATACATTATACACACCTGAGTTACAGTAGTAGTACTGTGACTACTACTGGACATACAAACAACTACCAATTTTGGTGTATTGCTTTGTATATGTGCTTTCTGTTGAGTGACACTGGTTTGAGCTATTTTAACTTGCTGCTGTTGTGTTTGTTGCTGCTGTTGCTGCTGAGGTTGTTGTTGTTGTTGTTGTTGTTGTATTGCATTAGTGCTAATATTTGTAGCAGTTGGTGTTTGAGATCGAGATTGTAAGATAACGAATTTTTGCCCTCCACCTGTTGTAGTTCCACCAGCAGTTCTACTTGTACCGAGCATAATTGTACGTCCAGTTTGTTGTCCAGGACTAGAACTTGTTACTTCAATGGAAAATAAGTGAAAATAAATAAGTATATTTAAAATAAATGTATTCATTTAATTTCATAATAATTAAAATTGTATTACCAGCTTGTACAATGGCTTTTCCCGTGCACATAGGACCTTGTTGACTTGTTGTTAAAGCTGTAGTTGTAGATGCTGTTGCTAAAGTTGCTGGCTGTGTACGAGCTTTTGCAACAGCTGCACATAATGCAGGACCTATATAACCATAATCTTGTTTGTAATCTTCTACATAATCTGGAGGAGATCGTATCGTCTTTAAAACAGGAGCCACTGATTTCTGTAAGTTGTAACACATATTTTCCTATTATTTTGTTATGTAATATATAATAAAATTTATATTAATAGTAAATGACATTCACCACTAGTAGAGTCTTTATATGACCTGCTCCATTTTTATCCACACTTGATAAACCTGGTCCTTCGATACATGATTCAATACGTTCGGAAATAGATTTTATTTTGGGAATAACTTATTATTATCATTATTATTTTTGTATTGTTGATTTTTAATATTTTGTAATCCTACAATTATACCTGACTATTCTTTGTCAATGCTTGACTAAACATTCTAGTTACTCTGGTTTGTACATTATTGGTAGAGGTATTAAAGTTTTTGCAAATTTGAGCCATAAGACGTGATGCAAAATCACGGAGAGCCCAATGATTGTCTACCTCTGGCCTCATACACAGCTGACGCGAAACAATACATGTGGCAATAGATGGTATTAATTCATGTAGCTATAAATAAAAATAGAAGATCAATACATATTTATACACACGCTCTCTTTCCTTTGTTGTGTATTCAGTAATACATACATATTTCTCTAAATAAAGGCTAGGATTATCCAAAAGGGCTTTAACCATGCGCATTAGATAAATTAAAAGTGCAAGATGGTTTTGTACTACATTAACACGTACACCTTCTGCAATAAAAGTACACATCCGTGCTAGCATTTCATGTAAACCAGGATCAGCTGACAAAGATTGCAATGCTTCTGCTCTACGTGCTTCATCAGATCCAACACAAGCTTCAGTAATTTCTTTGTAATATAATTGCTGTTCAACACTCAACTCATGAGTGGCTAATTGCTTAACATGAACTGTTTCTACATTACGTAATTTCTGACTTTTGCCACCACCACCTGGTTTACCAACACCAATGTTCTGATTCTTGTTTGTAAGTTTACTTGTTGGATCAACACTTTCTAGCTTTTGAACATCTATTGCATTGTTGATTGATTAACATCAGTATCATATAAAATATCCTTACACTATTACATTATTAAATTGTTACCTTTAGAGACTGGAGGTGGGTTTTCTGGTATTGTAGGTTGAACACCGTCTATGCAAAGCCAATGAGCACGTAATGTAATTTCTAAAGGTAATTTAGGCCATGTTTGCCCACCAGACATTGATATAACTTCATTAAGATCAATTTCTTTTTCTTCTACAAAATGTAATTCACGACCACCACCAGAAGCAAAACGAAATGGTACATGATCTTTGGCAAAAAACCCATATGTAGGTTCAATATTTTTTATTTTCAAAGCATGATCTATATCATGTGTTGTCATTCGTTGACGTTTGCCATGTCTCATAAATTTAGCAGCATCCTAAATATTAGAAAGCCCAGTTATACAAGTTTCACTAATTTAAAATGTAATTGACTTATTTATAGTATAATTATTACAATTAAAAAATATACAAACCTGTATAATTTCCTTAAGTCTATAGCTTACATCTTCTGCAAGATCTTTTGCAGCTTCATCTGGAAAATTTCCAACACCTATACTCTCTGCGATTACCTTTATTGATTCTTGAGACAATGTAGTCCCGTAAATGGATTCACTTTCGTTCATCTTTAAAGTATCTTGATCACCATATTTCATATAAAATGCATTAAAAATTACTTCTTAGAGATATGTATTTCAACTTATTTCAAAAATATATTTATTGATTTGTAATAATAAATCTTGCAGAAATGTATTTACATTTTTCTTATGCAATTATATTTCAGATGTAACTTTCATCATCATTGGTACCGATAAAATAAACACTGTATACTGGAAACGGATTACATGCATTTAATTATATGATATGTCAATTATTAAAAAATACGATAATATTCGTGATACGAATAAATTACTTATATGAATAATAATATTTAATGGTTTTTGGAAATGTCTACCTTAAACATAATCTCTACAACGATAGTTGCTTTATAACCGTTCATGTAACAGATTATTTTTTTATTTCATTAAAACTGTTGGTTGCAGTATACTTTGATTCCAACCAACTGCTTCTTTACTCATATAATAATAATCAGTATAGGGATTCACCAGTCAATATTATAGAATTTTACACTTCATTTACGATAATGTCCAGTCCTATGAACATGTTCAATTCTTAGTTGTACTTTCATAGTGATATTTAGTTTTACGCATAAAAAACTATGAATATTATAATATTTTGAATATCATATATAGTAAGTTAGGAAACATTGAAAAGAAGTTATGGGATAAAAAAATACATTGATAAACAAGTCTATCTTACTCTTTATTTATGGTCTAATTACTAACAAGATATGGCACACATCTATGATCTATGACTTTTACACAACTACGTACACTTGCAGATTAATGTATAAGTTAAAAGAACGAGAGTATATCATCAATATTAATATAAACAATATATTGTTCATAATTTTTTTATTGTAGCACGTAAATATATTTTTTCCAGCATAAAAAAACCAATTTTATACTATACGATACAAAGGTTCTCAACTATTCACTTTCTTAATTTTTTCTTGTATAAAGAATAACAAAATTAATATCTTTATATACATATATAATAATAAAGTTTATCAAGTAACTTTATTCCACAGATACATTGCTAATATGCTTACATTGCTTTCGTAATACTTTGTACTTCGAATATAGAATTTTATAGATGTATACTTGACTTTTTATGTAGCTACGTAATCTGTCGGTTTAAAGTAGAAATTAAAAGAATTTGATTGCATCTTCGATAATAATGTAGATAATAATGTTGATAATAATTTTGTTTGCTATAAATGAACATTCATTTGCGTATAAAAAACAGTCAAGTTTCTGATATAAATTACAAATGTCCAATATAATTTTCGCGGGATTCTCATAACTTGAAATTCCTTTCTGTTGTACAGATCGAAAGTTTTAATTGGTTATTAAGTTACCATTTTAATGATATCTTTTATAAATTAGTGCGCAAAGAATGATTAAAGTTATTACAATATAAAATGTAAGCGTTAATAATAAATATTTGCATTCGTTATGGTTAGTGATCGTTTACATTATTTGTTTACATCCTCGAATCACTCTTACTATGAGATTTAAAGAAAAATATATTGCATTTAATTTGCAGAAAGGATGAGAAAACAATGATGCACATAAATAACTAAATAAAGGAATGTCTATTAAAGGATAAAAAGTTAAGAAGTAGAACAACTAAATAAAATTGAAGTTACACTGAAATATAATTTCAAGAATTTAGGAGCAACGTAAAGATGTCTACTTCGAATTTGAAGAATTGGCCAATTTTTAGTTTCTTAGATTCAGACTTTATTTCAAATATCCATATGGTATTCGTATATGGTAAAATATTTATTTTTAATTTTACTTCCATTCTTATTAATTATTGTGCATCTTATTACAAAGGGTTATATACATAATGTTTCATTAAACAGGTGATTTAGGTAATGAAGCTTTAATTGTAACTAAGGATAAAATGGTATATGCTCTGGGAAGTAACACTTCCGGATGTCTTGGAATCGGTGACACTAATAGTACTCTTTATCCGAGGAAAGTTGAGGAATTATGTAATCAAAATGTAACAATGTTTGCACATGGCAAAGGTCCGTATGTTTTGGCCCTTACCGAGGAAGGAAAGGTATTTAAGCATTATGTAAAATATGCAATTGTTTTACACAAAGAATATCAATTCACTGTTCCATTATTTAATAATATAAATGTATGTATGAAAGGTATATTCATGGGGACACAATGCTCACAATCAAGTTGGAAACAGTTCTGCGTATTCATGTTTGACGCCAACACTTGTAACAAAAAATATCTCTACTGAATGTATCGTCGATGTAGCCTGTGGAGCTTTTCATTCTCTTGCATTAACACTTAGAGGAAATGTATGATGAAAATAATCAATCATAAATATTTTATCTTTTTTTGATTGTAATATAATATGAAAATAATGTATTTCTTTAAGGTATTTAATTATTTATTTAAGGTATTTGCATGGGGTGAAAATACATATGGACAAGTAGGTAATGGTGATACTACTAATGTAACTGTGTGTATACCGAAAATGGTGAATTATGCATTAAGTGATAAAAAAGTTGTTTGGATTAGTTGTTGTCAGTCATCAAGTGTAGCAGTTACAGACAAAGGAGAGGTTTATAGTTGGGGTGAGAATGGTGTTGGTCAACTAGGCATTGGAATTCTAGGTTCTCGAACAGTTCCACAGAAAGTAACACAACTTAATTTTGTAGTAATATGTAATGCTATACTCTTACTATATGTTACTTTTTCTAAACTTATTGATAATAAAATATCATTGTTTACAGATTATGTTTATTTCATTTTACAGCGAAAGTAGTTTGTGGATATGTTCATATGTTAGCATTGAGCAACGACGGTGATCTTTTTGTTTGGGGAGGTAACAGTTATGGGCAACTAGGTCTTAATACAAACAAAAGTGTTTGGTCACCAGTAATGGTAAAAGTAAAATTTATAATAGTACTCTTAAGTAGAAGTACTTTTAAGTAGATGAATATTTTTATAGCTAACAGTACCAGAAATGGGAAAAGTATTAGATATAGCATCTTCACACTATAATCATGTAAATATTGCTATGGCTAAAGATAATCGAATATTTATATGGGGACATTGTTGTGGTCAAATAGTTAGAGCTCCAATACTTACTGTATTAAAATGTTTACACGATGGTCTTGCGTTCTACGCTTATCCGAGGGTCATGCATCGCCCACTTATTCTTCAAGATCATAAAGAAACAAATTTAACAAATAGCCTAAAGGAAGCTTTTGACAATCCAGTATGTACTTTTCGTGATCAGCAACATGTTTGCTAAGTTTGTTATCTTCTGATGCTATCTTTTGTTCCATATTGAAGACCACTAGCGATCTTACTATACAAGTGGATGGAAAGAATATTTTTGTACATAAGGCAATTTTGAGGATACGTAGTCAATATTTTAAAATGATGTTTCAAGAACCCTGGTCTGAAAATAGTCAAAGGTAAATCAATTTATTCAGTATGCCTACACATACTGTTGCTGATATAAATATTCATTGTAGTGTTGTAGAACATAAACAATTTTCCTACAAAGTATTCAAAACTTTTTTGGAATATTTATACACCAATGAAATTGATCTACCACTAGAAAATGTATTAGGTAAATTACTTTATTTATTTAAACTATATAGTAGCATGTTTTGTGTATCATGTTTTTTCTCCCATAGAACTTTTAGAGTTATCTACTGTTTATTTTGAAAACCGGTTAAAAAAATGTTGTATACGAATAATAATTAAAGGAATTACAGTTGTAAATGTGTCCAAGTGGTATGGTATATCTATCAAATACAATGATAAGGTGAACAATATTTTGTGTGTTGTTCTTCATACAAAGCACTGTTCAAGTATTTAATGCATTATGTATTTTTAGGAATTAGAAGAATATTGTTTCAAAATCATGTTAAAAAGTATGACTGCAATAGTGCAGACAGCTGACTTTGCATTATTAGACGAAAAAACAATAAAAACTTTCATAATTAAAGTTGCAGCGGCGGGTGCTTTTAAAACATAGCTAAAAATGTATATTACGTAAAGTAAATACAGCAGGATATTGTGATACAAATAGTCTTTATCACTGTATTAGAGGATCATGCAGATTTTATTTCTAGATACAGTAGGATCTCAATTAAACCGGTTAAACCGTGGAAGCATGGATAAAATGAGGTCAAATGAATGATCGAAATCTAAGGAATAATAATTAAAAACGTATTATTTATATCAAATAAAATTCTTTATTCCTAAAAGATCTATTTTTTATATAACACAATAACAATCATAGCTGTCAATAGGTATCCTTTTCCTTTTGCGGAAAAATCTTGTAGAAGTAAAAGGAAATTGTAAGGTACGACGCGTGTGTGCCTAACATATATACAACTACCTGTATGAAGCTTATATAATTTTATAAACACGGACTCCATATAATCGAAACTTTCAATAACCGAATTAATCGAGACCACGGATAATTAGGGTTGTACTGTATCAACATTTTTTTGTGGAAATGATGTAAATATTTTTAATATTTAAATTATTTGTAAATGTACCTACTTGGTAGCAATAAATATGTTTACTGTCGATGAGCTACGATGTTTTCTTAATAACGAGAATGACTTGGAACTCTTTAATGTATTCAATTAGTTATATACGTCATAATTATTTATTCTATACTTACAAGGAGAGTGCAAGTCTTTTAGGTCACCAATTTAGTTGAAACTTTGCAGGTTTGTAGATGTCGTCATGCAATTTAAGAAAATATATCATTTAGCGGCAACTACTTAATAGTTTTTTAAGTATTTACGATTAAAATTTTATTACTATCCTAATTATAGATTTATTTCTACCACTTTGCAAGCGAAGTCGTGGCCTGTGGGCAACAATCGAAAAATCCTCTAGTGAAGGTCCGAGGTTCGATTCCTGTCTATACTTAGTAGTCTTTTTCAATCTATTTTTTATTTTGTATTCATTTTTGGTCTATGAAAACATTGTAAATAAAAACTTGTAAATAAAATTTCTTAATAAAAAAATTTATTTTTTACGTTTTCTTACGTTAGTATACATTTATTACAAAACAGTAAGAATGTTATGCAAGAAAAACACTTTTCTATAGCAATCTTATTTACTATAGAAAGAAAACGAAAATATAACTAATCATTAGATACAGGAAATACAAAACCTATCGCTCATGTAAGTATTAAACATTAAATTAAACATTATATAAGAATGTTGCTATAATTCCAACTTTGCTGTGCGATCATCATTCTGAAATATAAATGAAATATAATTAATATTTATGACTTAGCAACATTCAAACTCTATATTCAATTTGCCTTTACCTTTCATAACTATTACCAAGTGTTCATTCAGCACCTCCTCAATGATCCTCTTATTTGCATGTCGATGCCACACATCCTTCTCTCTTAATATATATGCTGCCTCTTATACGTTTCTTGGTTTGACACAATATGCATTTCCTCTTCTCATTGCCTTCATTCAAACCTCTCTCTTCTCTTTATATACCTCAGCTCCATCATTCTGAAACTTAACTCATTAGGAATGATCATTGACTTTGACCAGTGATATTAACATTTATTTAGATCAGAAATACAACATACCTTTCAATCTCACTGTATTCTCGATATCTAGTTACTATAGGAGGTCATCACCCAAATTAATTATATTCCCCTTTGTTTGCCTAAGCCATCTCCATTGTATGAATCTTTATTTGAACATCAAAGATTTCTATCTTGTAAGTCATATGGTTAGCTGAACCAGAATAGAATAGACATATCATAACTTACATATATGTATTGCTGTTTCAATTTTTTCTAGCTATAAAATATAATTCTTTGCATCCAATGGCCCTATGCTGGTGATATTTCATGAGTCCAATATTTTTCTTCTGTTGTACGGGACTGTTTAATTCAACAAAATATTGTCTTAAACGTACTCTACGCTGTTATACCAAACAAACGTAATAAAAATGCCTAATTTTCGAAATAGAAGCCAAAAAAGTCTATTACGCAGCACGATTTCACAGCCACTGACACATTCGGCACTATTTCTCGAAAACGCACGCTCGAAACCGAAAAAAAATATCCAATCCCGTTAAAGAAAATTCCCCTCTACGCTGATATATAGAACAAATATAATCAAAATGCCTAATTTTGGAAATAGAAGCCAAAAAAGTCTACTACGCAGCACGATTTCACAGCCACTGACACTTCCGGTACTATTTCTCGAAAACGCACGCTCGAAACCAAAAAAAATACCCAATCCCGTTAAGGAAAAAATCACTCTACGCGAATCAGTGGAAAAATCCGATTCAAAAAGCCTAATTCAAAAACTAGAAGCCAAAAAAGTAAATTACGCAGCACGATCTGACAGCTACTGACACTTCCGGCACTATTTCTCGAAAACGCCAGCTTGAAACCGAAAAAAAATATCCAATCCCGTTAAGGAAAACATCACTCTATGCGAATCAGTGGAAAAATCCGATTCAAAAAACCTAATTCAAAAACTAGAAGCCAAAAAAGTCAATCGCGCAGCACGATCTGATAACCACTGACACTTTCGGCACTATTTCTCGAAAACGCAAGATCGAAACCGAAAAAAAATATCCAATCCCGTTAAGGAAAGAATCACTTTAAGCGAATCAGTGGAAAAATCCGCTTGAAATAGCCTAATTCAAAAACTAGAAGCCAAAAATTAAATTGCGCAGCACGATCTGACAGCCACTGACACTTCCGGTACTATTTCTCGAAAACGCACGCTCGAAACCGACAAAAAATATCCAATTCCCTTAAGGAAGAATTCCCTCTACGTTGTTAGACCAAAAAAATCTAACCGAGAATCCTAATTTCAGAAACGGATGCGAAAAACGTATACTGTGTAGAACGATTTCACAGGCAGTTGCTTTCCCGTTACTTTGTTTCATATATGCACCTTCAATCGTAAAATAATTGCCCCATTGGTTGGAGAACAATCTATTCTATGAAGGAGTAATGAAATATGCTAAGCCGCAATTGAAGTTTAGAATATATATGCGATAATACGTAGCTACTTTGCAATTGAACGTCAAAATTGAAGAAGAATAGTAAAAACTGTTAACAAGCTGCCTATTCAGAGTAAAAATATTCAAATATGTTACAGGACATCCGAAATCTAGAATCTACTACAGCCGATAATAACGGACAATGCAGTAGTATTATAGGATCTCGCACTCACACCACTTCATTTCTCACGTGTGTCGTTATACAATTTACACTATGTAACATCACCTTTTTTCACATGTAGTATATTACTATCGAAGAAATGTTCACAGTTAGTAATCTTGAACTTCGTAAAGTAATTAAAACGTCAATCAGTGATGTCTCTACTTCACGAAACGTTTTGAGAGTTAATGTTTTACTTTGACGCGTGAGAATACTCCACTATTTATTACCGGTATGCTCGCTTGGCACTAACTGGAAGTTGACTGTAGCCGAATATGCTAGGTATTTTTATAGCGGGAAAATGTTACATCTTTGAAATAGCCATGTGATATAACATCGATGTAGAATATCAAACGATGTTTCTTATATTTATTAATATCAATGAAGCAAATATAAATATATTTTTGTGGTACCAAAAATTCCAAATTTCTATAATTAATTCATGAACTTAAATTATTAATTATTCCATTGTACTAATGGAAGGATACACCATTAGTATCTTCGGCAATAGTTCAAACACTCTATGCAATAATCACCAATAATGATTTGAATAATAACGAATTCATATCCAGAATTATATTAGAAAGCTCATTAAGGCTGTTTACGATACAATTTTAAAAGTTGATGAATTAATTATAGACAAACATGAAGTTACAAATGAAGACGAGTGATTTTGTTCTTGGTAAAATGAAAATGGAAATTATATGCTTAGGTGTTTTTTATTCACTCTATAAGTTTCACATATACACATTAATCGTTAGCGACATAATAAACAATGACATATAGACATTAGAATCTGAGTAGATGTCCGTATCACGGACCGTTGCGAGAAAAAAATGTTTCGGAATACATATCATGTAACAATTATCATTATAATGACCATGTATATATGTAACAATATTTATAGACATATACATACTACTGCAAATGATTCTATTCAAATACATGAGTTATCCTAATAATTCTAGATATTGGTTTATCATGCATCTATCTCTCTTATAGTGCATCTCCTCGGCTTTCTCTCGTGCTAAACCTCATAAGGAATTCCTTATTTCCTATTCATTTTCCTTTATATCTTTATCATCTTCAACATCATCTATTTTATAATTTTGTAACTTTCTTCGGTTCCTTTTTTGCATCTCTCAATTTATATTTTATCCTTTCCTTCACTGCTCTGAAAATATAAATATAAGAGACAGTCAATAAAAATTCCTACTTTCTATAACATAGTTATAATGTAAACAGTAAACTAACTCTTTTCCTTTCTTTATAATTTCTAATTCTTCTTGAGTTTTTACTTCGTCGTCACTTTCCCAATCGCTACTGCGGTCTTCCTTCCATTTTTTATTTGCAAGTTCAGGTGATGCAACAGCTGGTTGTGAGCTTAATTTTGGATCAGTTAAATGGTCATGAGCTGAATTGTCCTTACCACTAAACTTTTTATTTAATATCACAGATTCTTCTTCACTTTCCTCTACTTCTTCACCAAATGATAAAAGATTGGTTCTCCATATATTTTGTCACCTTTTCCTGTAGCTGAGGAATTACCACCTTGTGTTATGAATCCTTTGATAATTCTATGAACCTTCTATACATAATTGTGTGAAATTTCTACATGCCTTTGGAGTTTCTTTTGTCCATAATTCTGACTCAATATCACCAACAGTTGTTTTCATTACAACCTAGTTATAAGAAATACATTAGTTTGATTAATGTAAAATACCTTTAAAATCAAATTTATTAAAATTTATTATTTACTATTGTAATTCAAATTAGAAATTATTTAATATATTAATATAGAAATTTAGAAAGTAACTATTGTATATCGGTTAAATTTTTAAGAACAGATATACAATCCATTGAAATATTATTAACTAATACTTTACCTGTAGTGGATGACCCTTGTATATAAATATTACTCATGTTTGTAAGTCTCCCATAATAAAAAAAATCCTTCGTCAATAATATTTCATATTAAATCTTTAGTGATTTATAGATCAGTCAATCAAATGGTTCTTTTCTAGAATAATCATCGGCAGATAAGATGTACCTTTTACCTCCTTTTGACATTGGCTTTATTGCCCCAATCAAGTCCAGCATGTGCCACAGTCCAAGTATACTTGCTGCTTTTATAGTTTCCAAGTTCCTATAGCTATTTCTACACATTTTTGCCTTAATGTAACAATTACACTCTATATTCAATTTATCTTGAACTTTTATAACTATTACCAAGTGTCCATTCTCT